AGTTGTTTTAAGAGAAGGCTTCAAAATGTTCAGCTGTTTGTTATTTCCTTGCCACTAACCTTTCCAATTTATTTTTGGAGACAGGAAAACGAAAGAGAAGGCCAATCCATGTGCACGGTCACAGTTTAATACCTCTGATACGCATGAAGAAAATTAATTTGATTGAGGATTTTGCTTCATGAAGTAATTACAGTGCAAAGTATAAAAGGCTGCCTTTCGTCTTGAGCCGCCAAAGCCTTGTTTTGCATCACGAGGACATATTTAGGGTTACAAATAGGCTGCCTTGCTTACACAAATAGCATCTTACAGTATCTCGCATTGTTTCTCTTCACCTTTCCTGGCAGATTTTGTGGATGTGGAGAGAAGTGGAAAAAGAAACTCTTCTTCAGCCCCAGATCTGTTAAAACAGAAGGGTGATAGAAATACTGGAGAATGGTGAGTTCCTGGGTAAGGCTGCTCTGACTCCAAAATATATCCCATGCATACAGCCCTTCGCCACTGGTATAATTTGGCACAGTCCAACTAAGGTTGGGTTGACTAAAAAAACAGAAAGCAAATGTAAGACACACAATTTCCACAGGGTTTGCACAACAGCCTGATAATTTTTAAAACAAGGCATACCTCTAGACTCCAGTCCTTTTGAAAAAGCACGTGAATATTTTGATAAACCAAACAAAATTTGGTCTGGTATAAAATGGCAGCCTTTTAAATTAGTACTGTGCCATTGGCAGTGCATTTCACAGCTGAGCGCCGCAGTTCAGTTATTACCACTTCTTGTTTTATATTGCAGGTTTGGCTTCGATGAACTCATAGCAAAAAAAAACACAGAAGCCAAACTTTTAAGCAGCAGAAATTGGCATTAGATAGCTAAGTAATTGTTTGGGCACCTAAATAAGCAATTAGGTACATTTGTTAATAGATAACTTCTTCAGATGGGTATCTAAGGCACAGTTTCTCCCTCCTGCTGCTAACCTATATCATGGGTGAATTTGATCAAGAAGGATGAAATTTTTGAACTTCAAGTTTCCCTAGAAAAATGAACTTCAGCAGTAGGAAACTATACCCAGAAAACAAAGTTACAGAAATTGTATGTCTGTAAAGTCCGGTGCTGACAAAATGAGAAAGTCCTCAGAGAAAAGTCACCGGTGAGCAATGCCCTGCGTGCTGTGGGTTCTGCCTTATCTTGGTGTTGGGGTGGGAGATCTTCAGATCGGGCTCCTTGTGCAATTACAGCTGCAGCTGAGCTGATGGGAGCTGAGCTCTGAATGCTGGCAGCTAAAGCACTCAGGCTGTAGGTGACTTACACCGGGAATCCCAAATGAAGACCCTTTTTAATTCATCACCTCCCACCTTGTTTTCTCTGGGGTCAGCATCCTCTCAGAGTTTCTGGGAAAGGAAATGCTGCTTGTGAAACATTCAGGCACCGCTATGATGAGCGTTAGGGAAAAAACTTATGGAAATGAATAATTTTGCGCCCAACGCACAGTCTGAATAACAGGCAGCAAAAACCCTCCTTGCTGCACATTAAGCAAGAAGAGAATGAAACATGCAGAGTGAGGGGGATGCTCGTAGGAAAAGGGCATTGATCACTTGATTACAGCCCCTGGGGATACACACAACAGGCAACTTCTGGTCACTCCTGGCTGAGTGCTGGAGTGCCCAGCCTCAGTAGCCTTTTAGAGCACACAGTTTCCCGGCCCTATTCCTGTTTGTGTGTGCATGTGCTTCAGGGTGTGTGTAAAACAAGAGGAAAAGGTTTTGGCTCTGTGCTGTGCTCACTACTCTACACAGCTACGGGACTTTTGCTTGGCTTGTGGCATAGGCAGAGGTCTAAATGCAAAATGTTTGAGTATCACCCAACCCGCTTGGGGTCTCAAGGGCTACATCCCTGCTGACCAGGCTAGATATAAACCATGGTCCTGTGGGTGAATGTCAAATCTGTCTCCATCCACAGCTCTCCAGAACCAAAATGCTCTCAGGTACTCTGGAGACATCTTCAACAATCCCCTGGGTACACTGCACCCTGACATGGAGCCAGGATACAGGACACGCATACAGGAGCAGGGAGTGTTTGGAGTTACCACCTACAGTATTCCCTTCATCAAGTTTAGATAAGGTTGGGAACTCGAAGAAATTAATTTCTGCAGAGACGTGGCATCTACAGCAGATAGGGAAACCACTTGATCATAGCATGAACACGTCCTGGGACTGCTCTTGGCACAGACCGACAGACTGGAAGAGAACAGCATGCTGAGGTCCAACTGACGGTGGCAGATTTAGGAGCGTACATGCCTGACCCGAACCAGCAAAGGCAATCTTTGTGCTGGCTGGCAGACAAGAGCTGGTGTACTCACAGTCTAGAAACTTTCTGTGAGATACAGCTCCGCGGAAAAGCACAGCCAAGCAGGAATTCACAGTTATCGCAGTCAGTGCATCAGGTTAAGGATACATATTGCAGACATCTCTGCAAACACTGCTGCAACAGTAGAATGTAACAGGGTGACTCAATAGTAATGTGACCTTTCATTAACAGGCTCTTTTCCTCTTTGTGTCTGTTTCTGACACATTTATGAACTGTTACAAAGTTAGGTAAAACCCACTTTTTCAGTGCTTCCATCAGAATAGCGGTGTGGCCCTCGTGGAGCATGGGAACGAATACAAAACGCCTCTCACTCGTTCTGATCCGCGCCCTGCTGTTGCGTTTAGGGCATCTCCCACTGAGCTTGAGTGTCTTCTCCACTGTGGGGATGATATGAGCTCTGGCAACAGAGGACACATCTCCTGAGGCCGTGGAGTTGATCTAGGATGGTGTCCCAGCGAGGGACCACCCAGTGTCTGCACAACTCTCCAACGGTGGAGCGTGTTGTTACCCTTCTTGTGATGTTAGAAAGGGAAATGTTGTGTACTGCTACGTGTGCTGGTCAGAGTTTATTATTTCAGCTCATCCTTATGTCAGTGACTCACAATTCCTTCGCTTTGTACAGCCTTTTAAAGCAGTCATATATCTTCAAACGATCCACGCAGAATTTTTACCTTAGGTACCTCTCACATCTACATTAACTCAAAGAAGCAATAATGCCTTAAAATAATGTTTCCAGGCCTGCCCTGTAAAAAATCTTCCTCATGAGCGACTGAGACAAGGTCATTCCATATGAAACAAACCACTGGAATGACTCTCTAGACACTGCTTGTCCTGGAACTTCTTATTCATCTTTCTCCTCGTCCAGAGATTTTGTTCTCTAATTACAAAAGTACTTTCCATGTCTGCCGAGTGTTTCTGTGGGCAAAATACAGACAGAGGGAAATGGACAAATTCATTCTATCGGTATTGCGCCACCACTGTTACAGTTTCCTCCCCTCTCTCTGATACTCAAATTATCAAATTATTGTCGTGATACATTAGTGTAAAACTACAACTGGCAAATTGTCAGAGAAACTAAAAAGTTCTGTTGCCAGACCATGCAACTAGCCCTAAAATGGATCAGTGGCCACATCTTTTCCAGAGAGAATAGACGGAAATGTTTTCCATCTCTGACTTTGACTTGCTCGATCCCATCATTCACCTTGTAGTCTTGTTGGTGACACCCAAAGATCACTTGGATCCAAATTCCACTTTATTGGGACCAGGATTATATGGGGATTTAGTTAAGGGATTCTTCTAGCTTTGATGCTTCTGTAGCTTTGTGGAAAACAGCAACTGGAGAATTAAAAAATGGACAGCTTAGAAAGAAACGTTTCTGTTGTAATGCAACCCCTTATTTTCTAAGAATTATCTCTTGATTTCACCATTGAATACAAGGATATTTCCACAAATTTATTTATAACTGAAGCACTTTCTCATCTGAAGAGAAAAATTGACTTTACTACTGCGAGGCAGGACGGGTCCTCCTCTAATTAATGGTTCAACATTGATTTGTGTGATGGTGATTTGTGTGGTAAAGGTATTAAGGAAAAAAGGTCCCCTGCCTTACTGACAGCTCTTATAGAATCACAGAATTATTAAGGTTGGAAAAGAGCTTCATGATCACCTGGTCCAACCCCCTACCACCAATGTCACCACCAAACCATGTCCCCAAGCACCACGTCCAACCTCTCCTTGGACATCCCCAGGGATGGTGACTCCACCACCTCCCTGGGCGACCCGTCCCAATGCCTGACAGCTCTTTCTGACAAGAAACGTCTCCTCATTGTCTGAGAGGTTTCCACCTGGAGCGGGGACCTCTGAGAACACCCCACGAGCTGCAGGAAGCGGGGTTTGATGGGTTTGATTCCCCGGTGGTACTTTCCCTTCTGAATCAGCACCGGCCCTCACGCCACGGTGATATCACGGGCGATCTGCCGCTGGAAGCGCTGAGTATTTTGGAGCATTTTAACAGCAAAGTGCTGACTATTGCTGGGGGATTACAGATCCTGCGAAACATTTTGTAAGATAACTGCTGGCACCTCGCCACGTGTTATATGGAAAATATGTCGCATTATCTTCCATGTGTGCGGGGGCGTTCAGGGTGCTCCTCGCCTCCTGGCCCCCAGCCGGCGGAGCCTTACACATATTTTATTCAGAACGGAGTTAGGCAATAGGCAGAGAGCTTGCTCGGGCGCGGAGCCGAGCCCTGTCACTTCAGACAACTTCCATGTCCTCCGGGGCTTCCTGACAGAGCATCTTCCTCACCGACCCCACCGCCACGAGGGCTGTGGGCACCCACCAGCCCCGAGACGGAGCAGGGCGCTCCCCACCACCCTCAGCTTCACCCTCAGGGCCCCTCCGGGCTGAATCCCCTCAGTTTTCGGCTCTCCCACCCCTCACACCGCGCTGCGAGCCCCCCTCGCTGCCGCCCCCCGACCCCTCCTCAGGTCGGGGCGCCTCGGCGGGGCGGCGCCGCCCGTTACCTGAGGGCCGCCACGGGGGGGCGGGGCCTCCGGGGGAGGGGGGCGGGGCTTAGGGGCGGGCGGCGGCCAATGGGAGCGGGCGGCGGCACCCCGCGCCCGGCGCGCGCCGCTCTTAAGGCGGCTCCGCGGGCTGTCAGCGGCAGAAGGGCGGCGGGGGCTCGACGGGGCGGCCATGGCCGCGCTCAACGGCGCTGTGGAGAACGGGCAGCCCGACAGGAGGGCGCCGCCGCCGCTGCCGCGGCCCCTGCGGAGCCTGGAGGTGAAGTACACCAAGGTGAGCTCGGGAGGGGGAGGTTTTGAGGTGGCGGGGGGTTGTTGTTGGGGTGTTGTGTGGGGTTTGGTGGAATTGGGGTGTTGGTGAGGTGCTGTCGGTGAGCTGCTTTTTTCTTTTAAAAAATATAATTATCCCTTCAGAAGGAGTTTTACTTATTTGTGTTGTCTCCTGTGCTGTGCTAGGTAGTGGGTTAACGGGGATGGACGGGTGGTTGAGTGGCTAGAGCAAGTGGATGGCTGCTCCCAGGTGAGCTGCAGTTGCCGTGATCCATAAAGCCTGAAAAAATCCAACTGATTTTTTTTAAAAATATGCAAAATGCTGCTCTGGGTGCCCATGAGCATCTCTGCCCCTCGCTGTGTGGCTGGCACTGAGCGGTGACAGGCCCCGTGCCTGGCTGTGGCATCTCGCCGTGACGGCCATTTTCCCCCGCGCAGTGCTCACAGAACCAGCCCGTAACGCCTTTACTTATACTGCTGCCTTTACTTAAATTTACTTATATTGCTGCTCAGAAAACCTGATTTGGCTGGGGTGAGGTCAGGCAGGGCTGAGATGGGGGTTATGTGTCAGGGGGCTGCTTGCACGGGGCTCCTGCAAGGCTGCCCTGAGGTGGGATCGGCCCTGTGTGAGGCACAGGAGGGCTGGTGCCTGACAGAGGCTTCTGAGAGGGCTCTAACGTGGAATTGGGGCCACCCGGCAGCTCTGTAGGGTGAGTTTTGTCCACACACATCTTGCTGACTGCCCGCTGTCCCAACAGAGCTCCTCCATGGCCTCCAAGTGGGATAAAAGCACCGGGATGGCGACCCCACACCAATCCATGCCTCTGAGCCTCCTGCTGCTGTTATCCGCCACCCCTCACGCTTAACCGAGGGCTTCTCGGTTTGGTCACTCCGTCCCTCAGAGGTGGTGTTGGTTTTGCAGCGAGGCTCAGCTCCACACCACAGATCCCCGCTGCCTCACGCCGCTGTCGCTCTGCCACAGCCCGGCCATGGTCTGGCGCGGTGGAGCAAACATCCCGGCTTGTGACACTGCCGGCAGCCCTGCCTGCCTTCGTGTGATCCATTGGAGACTAAAAGGGCTGAAGGAGTGTATTAATTAGTTACATTTCTGTGCTAAATAATTGAAAAAAATAAAGCAGAACTATGTTTATTCTCTTGCAGCGGGAGGGAGTAAACAGCGATAGCTTATCCAGCAAGGTGTTGATTTGAATTAGCCATTCAAAATACTGGAACAGATTAATCTAGTCCAAGTGATTACCACTAATTGTTATTTTTAACATCCTGAATTTACCTACTTTTTTTTTTTTAAGATAAACTTGTCATTTAGCGGCAAATTGGATCTGCGGCTGCTGATTGTCGAGTGGCGTAATGCTGCACAAACAGCTCTCTCCCGTGTCAGAAATGGACACGGCCATTAGGGTTCTTCTTAAACATACAAATGTTCTGTTTTGTGTTATTTTTATTGTAGTGAAGGCTTTTAAATACTCCTTTGGGATCCAATCCTGCAGCCGTGTGCGCTTTAAAACACGCGTTTTCTTAATTCTCCAAAGTTTTTGCAGGAGGCTCTGTGCACCGAAGGCATCAAGGTAGTCACTTAATAGTGGAAACCAGCATTAATTAAAAGTGTGAATTTGACATCTGATCTGATGCTCCCGGTGCATATGAGAAAGTAACGAGCAGCAGTCAGTTTTCATAAAACTGCGAGGGGTTTTCGACAAGCTCCTTTGAGTCTCACCAGATGTTTACAGCTGACGGCACGCTTCCTTGCTTAGCAAAGATTTTATTTTCGGTTCCACCAGTTACTGGGCTGGGGGAGAGGGAAGGAAGATTACCAACAAAGATCCCACTCGCAGAACAGCTTAGTGCTTGTCCTGGGTGTGTGATGGAAGTGATTTGTCCATAATCTCATGTCCCGGGGTTGGGGTGGGAAGCGTGAACAGCCGATACGCTTTTCTGTTTGATTTTAGCTCCTGGCACCAAAACCTCAGGCTTGTGGCATGATTCCCAGAACAGTGCCAGCATATATGTTGTGTTTTAAAGGGTCTGATCCCAATGCACTTGTGTCCTATAGCTTATAGGAATGTTGCTTTCTGATCTTTAACTCTTCCACATAGAATTAACGCTTAATGCAGAGGAATAACAGCATCTGCCCCTGTCCTTAGTTTGAGTATGTATCAGACTGTAACTTTACAGCTCTTGCCATCTCTTATTTAAAATGTGACTTTGCTAGTGAAACAGTGAAAACTGAAGTGCAAAACATTTAATTTTTAAAAATAAAATGCAGCACTTGAATACTAGAGGTAGTTTGGGAGCACTAGTTTAAGGTTAATTGATATTTCTGACATTGACTTCACTTGGCAGCCTCTTTTTGGTGGAATTTTCTTCTCCGAGGCCTGTATGAAACAGGTGGGCCCAGAAGCGCAGCATCTGTGCCAGTTATGTCTTGGATGCTTTCTGCAGAAATAGTTTGGGAGAAACTCCTTTCAGGGGAAAAAAAAGCTGCCCAAAGGGGGGGAAAAAAATGACCCAAAGCAGTGGGAATTCTGAATGTAAGGGACGCAACATTAATCTCCTGGTCGTGTGTAGGGACTCATAAACAAGATTGCAAATGTGGAAGGCTTCCAAGTAAAAGTACTAGCTTATAGCCACTAACAGGCTACTAATAAAGATTACTTCATCTAATCTTACTTGAAAAGTATCTTTATTTATAAAACATAACACTGCCAAGTTAGATCAGCGTGGATGAGATGCATGCGGAATCAATTAATTGTATATAGGTATCCGTGCTCTGTTTACAGCGTGTAACAACACTCCAGTATTTAATGCATTTTGGGTTACGCAACACTGGGACTGTTTGTTCTTGCTCTGGAAATGCAATATTTTGAAACACTTAAATCTTGTCACAGACGACTCCAAGTGACGTGGGAGGCTTGGTGCATCCTGTGACGAGGCGTAGCGGGGTAGAACCGAGCCTGTTCCTACCCCGTGCCCTCCGTGAGGGCAGAGTCCTGGAAGTAGCCCAGGGCAGGGCACTAATAACCAAGTAACATTGAACGCCGGCGTTTTGTTTGTAGCATGCGACGAGGGGTTCCTTTTGCCTGAACCATATGGGTTTCTCTTGGTGTCTACTCGCTGTTCCCATGGAAATGGATTTCAAACTGTCTGTTTCTCATTGCCAAATTATGGCATTGCACTGTGTGGGCCCCATCCTCTGTCCTCCTTTTGCTCAAAGCTAACTGGGTGCATGAAGGCTTTCTCGTCTGTTCCCTGGCTCAGGTTCTAGTTTGGATAAATGCTGTCTGTGTCACAAACAGTCTCACTGGGAGAGACTGAACATGCCATCAATGGAAACCGAAGAGCCTCAGGACCTTTGAGGAACACTTGTGGGATTTCTTTCTTTTTCCTATTGTCTGCATCAGTGTTTTCATTTTCCCACCTGTCCCGCTCCCCTTGCTCTCTCTTCAGATATTTATTAACAACGAATGGCACGAGTCTACAAGCGGAAAGAAGTTCCCCACCTATAATCCTTCAACGTTGGAGAAAATCTGTGACATTGAGGAAGGAGACAAGGTAGGTGTTATTGGAAAAGCAGTGCAAAAGACAGTTTCCAGGGGACTTGCTGTCTTAGAAAAGAACCTAGAGGAAAAGCTGGCTCTTAACACTGACATGTGGCCAGCCAGGCTGCAAGCTGGAGGCCTGGGATGCTGGATGTGCTGCCTGAGGATTACATGGGCTGGGTGGGATCAGTCCTCTGCAGCTCAGCTGAGTCACTTTCCCTGATAGGAACTGTCTGCTGACATGGTCAGAGGAATGAGACTCAGCATCATTCTGGCTTTATAGATCTGGGAAGAAGCAGCTATGTTGAGGAAATAGCAATGACAGTGTATGCACGTCCCTGACAGAGCTTCAGCATCATCTTGGGAGTGGTTTATATGCAAGCTGCATGGCAGCCTGTTGGAGGCACTGAACTGGAGCTCACCTTTTTTAAAAAGAAACCACAGATTAGCTGTTTGGGAGAACTTGACGTCAGGCATGCATCAGCACAGGGAAATCTCCCACAGAAAGTGAGCAGTGCTTGCTTTTCCAACTGGTATTGTGAGTTCTGCCCTCTTGTACAAACATGGCATCTGCCATTTGAAACCAAACCAGTGTTTCTGAAGTTCTTCAGAAGTCCCTGGTCTCAGGGCATTGCACAGTTTCCTGGGGCATAACTGCTTGGATTTGGTAACAGTCTGAGGTAAGGAACAGCCAAATATGACACTGTCCAGGACAGCTCATCACACACGTGCCGTGCCCTGCTCAGTGGGGGAGAGCTGGCCCAAGAGCTTGCTCCTGACAGTCTGTCACGGGAGGGTGATTCACAGCTTCCCTGCTCTACCATGCCTGTGGCTCATCCCTGCTGTGGGCAGTAAGTGGCAGGCAGCGTGCGCTGCCTGTGCTGTGTGGCTTTTGGGTCAACAGAGCCTGGCCTTTCTGGAGATGGGAGCAAACTTAATTGGGAATGCAAGTCTGCAGCCTCCCTGCAGGTGGTGCACGAGGTGGCTGTTTCGATGGCACTAATGCAGCCTCAGAGCCCTGTTGCCACGGTGGATCTGTGCAGCCATGGGGCGACTATACATGGGGATGGAACTTAACAGGAGAAAACAACACATAATAGTTGTGTTTTACTCAGTTAAATGTTAACTGCAGTGGTATATAAACAGTGGAGCTGAAGTTAACTCTGATGCAGCTGCATTTTTACTAGCTAGAAATCATGACACCACTATTGTTCCCTGAACTGAGTGCCTCCTCAAGCAGTTACAGAGCATTACATGAGAGTTTCAAGCCTGTTCTTAGAGACTTGGTGAAAGAAAACTTATGCAGAAATAAGAGGTCAGTGAATTCAAGGATAGCTTATTATGTTTGTAGGGGAGCTGCTGAAAAACCTTGCCTTGAGACTGGTTAGTGGGGCCCTCTGCCCATGGTGCACAGAATAATTATGGGCTAAATGCAGTTTAGGTGCTGAAAGCCTCTTTGGCTCACACAAATTGACTAATTTTCCTCCAAGTAGGCTTGTGTGAGGGACTGGGGGAGGTTAGACCTGGATGCAGGTGAGGTAGGAGGCAGAGCTGGGGTGAGGAGTGCCCAGACTGGCTGTTGGGCTCCTGGTGACACATGGCCATGTCCCACCACCCTCTGGGCAGAGTCCCTGAGACTTCATTTGCCCTGGTTGATCATCCCCATCCTAAATCTGTGACTGTAGTGCATTGGGGATGAAGTTCCCTGTTAGTGCAGGGAATAATGGGTCATGGTTGGTGCCTCTCAGTGGCTTGTCCATGTGAGCTGCTGTGCTGGGCAGTCCCATGGCAAGCCCTGGTTCTGCCTCTGGCCCCAGCTGTGCCAGGTTTGGCCCTGCCCTCAGTGCAGGCAGGGAGCAGGGCTCCACTTCCCCAACCCTGCACAGAAACCTGCCCCTCCCTGGCCGTGCAGGGTTTGTTTTGCTTAGGCTGCATGTGAGGGGTGGGAATTTGGCAGCCAACGTTTCAATGATGACAATCGAGTCTGGTGCTGAAACTTGGCCAACGGTTTATACGACTAGGAGCAAAGGTTTTGTTTGTTCTTCAGTTACAAAACTTAAGACGGAATTGCTCTTGGTGGGATGGTTGGGGGATGAAGGGAAGTCTCGGGTGGAAAATAAGCACTAAAAATAAAATGGCAAAAGCTTCTGCTGGGTGCTGGGAGGCTTTCTGCCTCCCAAACAAGGGCTCAGTGTCCTGATGGTTTCCAGGTACAGTCACAAAGGGATAGCTTTATTAGATTTCTGCCCCAAGGAATGGTGCAGCCCCAGAACTTCTGCCCTCCCTTGCTATGTCAAAGAAAAAGTATTTGAGCTACTGCCATTCCTCTTGTGCTGTTGGTGATGCTCAGAGATGGCTCTCCTTCTGGCAGCCTGCTAACATCCAGCAGGAGCAGGGGGAAAGGAGCTCCCTCCCTAAAGGAGTGCCCAGCTTGGCTGGCTGGTGTGAGTCCCTGGCTGTGACAGAGCAGGCTGGATGGTGCAGGGCATCTGTTATGATCACTTCTGAGCCGTTTGCTCTCCCATGTGGATCTTTGGAGGGTTCTAAGAGGGCTTTGTTTGCAGGCATCCTGCCTCCTGCAGATCTCAGGGCAGGCTGAGGTAAGAGCCTGCAGGAATATTGTTCCCTACAGGAGGCTCACAGCACCCTACACAATGCTTTTGGACACCAAGGGCTGTGAAGTTGCAGTCTGCATTACTTCTGAATCCAAGTTTCAGCCAGCTGCAGAGCGTTGGCTGTTTGCAGAGGGCTTGCAGGGGAGCAGCTCAGCTCTGGGCATCTTCTAATTGAGGAACTGTGGCACGGTCGTGCTCTGTGTCAGAAAAGTGCCTTTCCAAGGATGTGCACAGTGGGATTTTCCAAAAGTTAGTAATTCAGTGCAGGTAAGACAGTCTCCACAGGGTGTGCTCTACCCCTAGCAGGTGTCTGTACTGAAGCACGTTGTCTACACTGAGCCTGAAGCAGAGCAAGGCTTTTCCTGCAGGTGTTTTCCCTATTTTCCCTTCTTTCTGAGCCACTGGGATGATGGTTTCCCTTGTGCTGAGGCAGGAAAGAAGGGAGAGGGTAGAAGTGGAGCAGTGATGAGCAGGACTTGAGCTAGAGGAGGAAGGTGGAGGATGTTAGCTTAGAACAAAGAAATCCTGAGTTTGTTCAGGGGAAAATGGCATGCGGTTGTGTAACTGGGGCTTGTATCATAGTGCAAACACCCAGGGTGGGTGTGAAGGTTCGCAGGCATTTCTCAACGCCGATTGCTTGACTTTGCAATCTGAATATCCTCTTAGTGAAGCTTTTTATGTAATAATAAACCCGTGTAGGTCAGAACTGAGCACCAGGATGCACAGACCTCCTCGTGGCTTCACACAGCGCGGTGCCCTTGGCACCTTGACAGCTGTAGGTCTGTCACTGTCACGCCTTGTGCCTGCCGATTGCAACATGCCCGTGGTGAGCACACCGTTCAGACTCCCCCAATGCCAAGTCATAACAGGATGGATTAAGAACAGCACTGCAGCCTTCCTGGAGAATTTCCTTGTTTTTGCTGGTCTCAGGCCTATAGAGACACTGCAGGCTCACAGGATCTCGCTTGGTGGTGCTGCCCTGAGGGTGTTTTGGGAGAACTTCTTGCTTGTGTGACAGCGACAGCAGCCTGCGACCTGTCATGCATGCTCAAGAAAAGGGACAAGAATGAATACAGCTTCGACTAATATTCACCCCAGAGCTTCTGGACAGTAACACTAAGACACTTCTATCTGTAAAATGCACCTCTTGCCATGCATCTGAAATTAAAGCTGTGTCCAGTAGTAATCTCTGCAGGAAAAGAACAAAAGCAACAGCCTTTGTTCATTTTTTTTCAGTACAAAATTACCAAAAACCAAACCAGTGCTTTAGGGGAAAGAGGCATGGGGCAGCATCTCCATAGTTGATCAAAATGGAAAGGCAAAAATCTTGCCAAAACCTCTGGCCTTCAAAACCCCAACAGATGACCACTGCCACTTACAGGAGCTGCAGTAGGGCTTGAGTTCGTCTGCATTTAAAGGATGGGGACTGAAGTGCTTCACCCACATAGCTGTCTTGTTCCTGCTCTTGTCAGTGCTGGGGTGGTGGGGACACTTTCAGCCCTGTGGCCTGTGCCACAGCAGACCCAAGTCTTTGCACACTGGTGTTCCCAGCCTGCTCTCAAAGCTGCTTAATTGCTGCTGAGGGAAAACCTGATTAAACCTGACACTTCTTGCACGTGTTGTGACCTAAAATATGGCTGTATTTAGCTTGAGTCTTCATTCCAGCAGGCAGGATGAGGAGAACATAACTGTGCAGTGCTGGTGGTGCCTCTCAGCTTCTGTGACACACCAACCTGAATCCAGAAGAGCTGAACAGAAGTGTTCTGGAGCCCTGCTGTGCCTGTGGGTGGTGGGCAGCAGGCAGGACGAGCCTGCCTGTGTGCAGGGGCTGCTTGCTTGGCCAGAGCCACTCTTAACCTTGTAACAACACAAATTTCTTGTAACAGTTTCCCCATCAGTGCCCTTTTGAAAGGGTGGAGTTCTCCTGGCAACATACGTCAGGCTGCTTTAAAACTGTGCAATCATGTAAAGAGAGACAAATTCAGTGTAAGGTGATGTTTCAGAGGGTGCTCACTTGCTGTTTTCTCTCTGAACCTGTCTTGGAAGAGGTTTCTCTCCATAACACTTCTGGTTGAACACAACAGCCTTATGAGGGCAGGATGGCCAACGCTTGTTGGATCAGAGCGAAGCATTACCCTGTAACTGGATCCAGTCTCTCTAGATAAGACTTGAGATAAGACTTAGCCCTTCACCAGCTGCTCTCCTTGGAAGAACAACGAAGGCCTGAAGCCCTCCCTCCTTTCCCACCTCCCTTTAGCCACATTGTGGTGGGGTGTAAGGACTTCTCCACCAGCTGAAGGGAGGCTTGGGCGTGCCAGACATTACGTAGAGCAGGAATCTGACCAAAGACAGGGTGAAGTATGCTTTTATGTATGCTCGGGGTACAGTCTTGGCCCCGTGGATGTTCATGGCAGCGTTCCCGTTGACTTCATTGAGTCGGGAGGTTGCCCTTGGCTCCACTCTCTTTAATCAACGTATGCTAGTGGAGGGGAGAAGGGAGGAGTCTGGGGCACGCTGTAGCCAGAGCAAATGCACGAAGCTTCTCTGGGGGCGGTGGTGATGTGGGAAGAGAGGGAATTTGCTGCCCTCCTGAGTAGCAACTTATGTAAACAGTTAGATTTGGGCCAGCATGAGTAAAGCATTTGAGCGAGTGACACGAAGTCTGTGTAGGTGAAAAGGCTTTGTTGAAGCACGGAACAACACAAACCCTTTCCCATCTGGTGGAAATGTTCTTGAAGTGCAACCTAGGATCGAAGGGAGCTTTTTTGGTGCGTTAACTGTTGCTGGCATGGGCTCAAGTGGGACTGAATAATGGGATCTGAGCTCTGGTTGCTCCCCTGGATAAAACTATGGTCTCTTGGGGTGGGACTTTCCTTCCTGCATTTGTTTAGAGTAGGCTGATTTGTGGAGGCCAGCAGCCTGTCATGCTTAGGGAAGCCCCAATGGGAACAGAATTGGGATCTCATTTTTCTGTTCTCCCCTGGTGTCATTTACATCCTGTGTCAGCAGGAACACGATTCTGGATTATTTTATAAACAAGCCAGTTGCATAAAATTACCCCTGAAAAACCCTTTTGATCCTTTGACCTCAGTGTTGTTTATCAAGTTAGTGCAAACCCAGAATGGCTTGCAGGCTTGGGTCCAAATCCAGGAGTGAAATGAAGATGGTCTTGTCAGATGATTTGGGTTTTGCCACCACCCCATCCTGTAGGAAGAGGCCTGCTGGGGTCTCAGTACTGTTGTTCAGCTCCTTACTTGTAACCTCACTTTTTCTTGTGCGTGGCTGCTGCAGCCTGATGTGGATAACGCAGTGGAAGCAGCGAAGGCAGCGTTCCAGAGGGGGTCTCAGTGGAGACAGATGGATGCCTTGAGCAGAGGACGGCTCCTACACAAGCTGGCTGATCTTCTGGAGCGAGACAGAGTCATCCTGGCAGTAAGTACTGTGACTGGTGAGCAATAACAAACCAGCAGTGGCTGCAACTCAGCTCCATCCCTCTGGTTTTGCTGCATCCATATCTCATGTCACACTACTCCTAAGGACCCCCAGAAAGAAGGAAGCCCGCAGGGAGGTCCCGCCTCCTAGTTTCTCATTTTTCTGTGCTCATTGCTGTCTTAGGCTGCCTGTTCCAGTCTGTCTGGTACACCTGGGAAGGCCAGGCAGCTTTTTCAATACCTGCAGTCACATCCATAAATCCTTCCTGGACTAATCTGTCCTTGTGTTACCCTGGGCTTTATTATTCCAGTCCTGTATTTTAGATTTCAGTGCCTCTGAAAGGGAACCATAGTTTCAGACCTGACCTAGCTCCTCTTTCTCCTCTTCCATAGAGGAGTAGGGGATTTGGTCCTGTCCTTTGAGTCTAGGGTAAAGATCAGTGACACTGTTTCCCACTCAGAAAGAACAGTGGCACAGGCCCAAGTTTTCTCTCCCTGGTCTGATTAGAGCTCTGACTCTATATGCGTTTTCTGGAACTGGATGCACTCCCTGATTTCTTTTTCATTCTCCCTATATGAATCCAGGCAGGAGTCATGGCTTATCCTCCTCTTTCTGCAGGAGGATTTTGGGGGTCTTAGAAGAAGGCTGTTAGCTCTCCGTATTTGAGTTCTCCAAAACCTTGGCTAGTTCCCGAAGTGATTGCAGATGTCAGTACTTACATTTTTAAAGCAATAAACATATTAATTCTTGGTTGAACAGTCATCAGTGTTCATGTGTCTACCAGGTTAGGAAATATTTACGTATTAAAAAAACAAACAAACCTGCCTTGGTCCTTCTTTATTATAAAAATGCAAGGCCAGTTTGACTTCTTTTCAAATTTCTTTTCAAATTGCTTCCACTAAAATGGGGGGCTGGGAAGAGAATCTTTCCCTTGTTGGATGTCATCCAAAGATTGAAATGTGTGTAAGTGGGAACTGGTGCTTTCCCCACTGAACGTCCTGGCTCAGGAAAATCTCTTTATAGCTGTGAAGCTGCGTTAACTTGGACTTCTGCACTGAAGAACTATTGCTAATGGTTCCTCATCCTGTCCTCCAGGAATCCTTCTCGTGCAGAATAAGGAGAGTAGGACCTGAATTAAAATATGCTGTGGTTGGCAGAGGCCTTTAGGCTGTGTGGGACGTGTATATTTTTCAAATAGTGCCCACAGATCTTTTTATCTCTCAGCTTTGAGCTGATGCCTGTCCATACTTCACCTGTTCAATGCAGTACTTTTGTTGTGCTCGTCTTGGGGACTATGGCACTCGTCATATTCAGTGCTGTTCTATGCAAAAGTTCCTGAGCTGTTGTCCCAAGTCTGTACTTGCGTGAGCTGAGCCTCTTTCCCCCAGCACATTGTCTCTGAACCACATGGCAGTCTCCAGTTTCAGCAGGACAGAAGCAAAAGCTCCAGGTCTGAAGGCAGTTCTGGCCAGCAAATAAAAGGAAATGCGTGTCTGTATATGTGTGCATGAATACACCCTGTTCATTTTCTGCTCGTTTTTTGATGCGACTTCAAAGAAGCCTCCTTTTTCCATAAACCAGGACACTTATTTCAAGCTTTCTGCTGTCCTTCTGATCTGGGAGGGCTTGTTTGGCATTGTTATTCTCACTGCAGAAAACCAGCCCTAGCTGCCTTGGCTGCATGCTAAGCAATGACTTATAAAAATCAGTCCTTTTAGCAGACGTTCGCAGTGGATAACAATCCTAGCCATTCCAAGGGGAACGTCTGTTTGAGTGCTGTTTGGGCCCTAATGCCTGTGGAAGATGACAGGGGATGACTTCATTTATAAACAAAGATGTTTCAATCTACCAAGGGATAGTGCTTCCTTTATGGATGTGCTGGCCACTTCCACCAACGTGCCATTTAATGACCTGAGTAGGGAACAAAGCCTTCACTCAGCTAATGTCCAGAACAACGAGAAGGACGTGGGCTGAGACTGGGTTTCATTTAGAGCCGCTCAACGTCGGCGCAACTTCAGCAAAGTAACTTCTCCCTTGCACTTAAGCACATTTCTGAGCCCGAAGGTTACTTTACTACATCTCTGAAAATGTGTTTTCTATCATCCTGTGGATAAAAGAGGCTTTTCAGAGGTTGCTTTTAGGACCACGAGCAGAAAAAAAATAGATTTCCAAATAAAAGGAAAATGGGTCAGACTGATTTCAGTGACACCATCTGGAATCCAGAACATCTGTGTCAAGAGGGTCAGATACAGCGAAGCTGTGGCACTTGCGTAACTGCTGAGCGGTGCCCAGACCACAGCCTGAATCCCACCCACAGCTGCCTTCTGGGGTCTTCCAGAAGATGCGCCTTTATTGCAATCCCTGAACAAAGCAGCTTGTGTATCTATCAGGGTTATTGGGTCTAGTTGTCTCCGTTCTACCTTATATTAACTAGATTGTTCCTTAAGTACAAGGCGAGGGAAGGAAACTCCATGTCTGTGGCACAGGACAAAAGAAAATTGAGAGATTTTCTGAAAGCTTTTTTTATAAAGAAAAAAATATGGAGGTGTCTGATGGTACACTTAATTTATTTTTTTTTCAGACTCTGGAAACAATGGACACAGGAAAACCTTTTCTGCAGGCTTATTTCATCGACCTGGAAGGTTGTATAAAGACACTTCGATATTATGCTGGATGGGCTGATAAAATCCAGGGTAGAACTATCCCAGTGGGTAAGTTCCTTCAGACCCAGTGTCAGAGCTGGGGAGGGATCAGGCTTCATGGGGCAGGTTGGGAGGGAGATGCATGAAAAGATTTGCTTCTGAAAACCTGCAAAAGAAGGTGTTCCCTTTCTATCTTAGGGTGCATTTTAAGTAGGCATGTTTTGAGAATTAAACTCACAGGAGAACAGTGAACGCCTGGAAGGATCTTTGGAAAATAATGGATGGGCTCTTTAGTTGTTGTTTTTGTTTGTTCGTTTTAACAGAGAAGCATTTTGATTTAACATTTAGGCGATTTAGTGTATTTTCAAAATGAGCTTGTTTTGTTCCTGCGCAGAGGTGATCCCCAAGGGTGTATGAAGGAAAAGGATGGGCACCGCACACAAAAATTAGTCGCCAGAGGAAGAGCTGTGGAGGGCCAAACTAGTTCAGCCTGTGCAGTCAGCAAAGGGTCTAAAGTCAGTGATGGCAGTCATACAAACTGAGATCTGTCACCCTCGTCCAGAGGAATGTGAAGCTTTGCGTTCTGGATATTGGTCATTGGTCTGATTGGAGATCGCTTTCAAGAACTATAATTCACATTCACATTTTCTGTCAGATCTTCCTAGTGAAACTAGATTTTATGCAAAAAAAAGAATGTGTAAGGAAGATGTCCTTCTCACTGTCCTTTCCACTTCCTTTTGGAAAGTGTAGTATTTTAAGATGAATGGTATTAGCTTACTCCTAGAGTTTCTTCTTTCTTTTTTTTTTTAGTGTGATTTCTCACCAGAAATGCAATTCCTCTTACAATGAATGTGATTCCTGTGCAAAATAGATTTGAGAACTTTCCCACTCAGGGAGCCGAGTGCTTTGCTTCTTTCATGAGATACAGTTTGAATGAGATTTGGGCTTGTTCTTCAGTGCAGTAAGGAGTTGTTCTCCTCTAAGCCTCAACACAGGGAGTCTGCAGAAGGAATTGACCCACTGGTTTTAAAAGTCTCCACTGTGCATGCGAGCAGTGTCTGGCTTTTGAGCTAACATAAGACCAATTCTCAAACAGGTCTTCATCCATCTGGGGTATCCCAGAGGCTTGAGTGAAGATGCACAGATATAGGCTTGTTTGTCTAATGTGGTTTTGGTTCTGTCCCCAACCTTCTTGTGAGAAGTCATCTTACACTGTTTCTGTAGAAGCAAGGATGTTGACTGTTGTTTTTTTCCCCCTTTGTTCTTCTGTTTTGCAGATGAGAACTTTGTCTGTTTCACCAGGCATGAACCAATGGGTGTTTGTGGAGCAATAACCCCGGTAAGAAACAGTGATGGTGCCCGGAATCTCTCTGGGAAATGGAAGCAGTGCATGCACGCTTCCCATCTTATGCTGCAGCCATTTGCTTCCTAGTTAAGTACAGCTGTTCTGCAGGGAACTCCCATTTCAGTTGCCTGATGTAGTTTCTTGTTTTACCCCCATGCCAATTGCTCTTGGCAGTGCAAAGTCCTCTGCAATGGAAGGGTGGGTCTCCTAATCAGATGCTCTGTTCCTCTCAAAGGCTGACAGCAGTCACCAGAGACCAGTCAGAGCTCTCTGACTCTTCCACTGCTAGGACAACCATCTTGTCATTACATGTGCTAGCTTCTCGCTGCCTAGAGCTGATGCATAGTTTTGAGTTTTAAATCATATCCATTATTAATAACCCCTGGCAGTTCTCTGAGCTTCCTGCGATTAAATCTCACTGGATACAGTTCTCTTTTTTCTTTGAGGTCTCATTCTCTGCTGAGGGGACAGTGTGGCTAGCTCTTGGAATGCCTCCAGTTTTAGTGTGTGTTGCTTGCTCTGTTTAAACAGCCAGCTAGAAAGGCTTTTACAGCTACATGGGAGACATAGTTTGTTCCTGTATGGTTGTAAAATGCTTTGAACATGGTATCCTACAGGCTGTGAGGCAAATGGTGGCGTGCCAAGATTCTTTGGATACTTAGATCAGTAGAGTCCATGGAAGATTTCGACCCTTGGGATAAGGTTATAGGAGAGGCTGAATGAGATACATGTGGGGTTGGGGATTTTCTGGACCCTGGGAATACCAGGTCTGGACTGGTTCCCAAAGACATCTGGATAAATTTTGCCTTTTTCTTCAGCTGGACTGAGCTTGTATCCCTGGTGATAAAGTGGTACAGTCTGCTTAGCCCTGTGAGGGTGAGGCAAATTGGGAGGTGGTTGATACTAATTATCAGACATTTGGCTTTGTGACTTCTGCACAGCCTTCCTGGGTGAACAAGCAATGTGACTGCTCGTAAGTAGCTAGAATTTGTGACATAAGATCAAAACATCAGATTCCTCGCTGATGATCGTCAGTGTTGTGAGATTAACTATCATCAGTTAAAAGGTATCTCCCTGTCATCCTTCAGCTACCTTTGGCACTCAGCAGTGCTTTCAGAAATGATAACTTCAAAAGGCTGCATATAGGATGTTTGGGAGGGCCACTGTAAGGGGAAATCATGGGACTCTTACTGTTTCAGGTCGACCTTATATCAGTAATAAATATAACAGAAAGACCAAATTTGTCTCAAGTTCAACAGTGTTTGCAAAAAGGATGATTGGGGTCAACAGAACCACATCTGCTTCCAGTTTACTTAGAGAACTCCTCTCAATTATTTTCTTTCCAGTTTGATCTCTAACACGAACAGTCAGTGGATGTGTGTATTCCTCCTTGATATCAAGGGATTCTGTCACTATTCTGCATGTCTCCCTAGACCAGTTAACAGTCCTCTTGTGGCTTGCCTTTATTTAAACCAACCTTCTTAGCAAGGGAAGTTCTTAGAAAGTGCCGCGTATGCCTGAACTTTATCCCAAGGTGATGTCATCAGGCAGCCCTGATGACCTTTTCTAACTTACTTTCACCAGCCATTCTGCAACGGAAAGCACCTGGTAGAGTTATGTCATACTATGAAAGTGTAGAATAGTAGTGAAGGTGTAATTAAGACCTTCAAAAAGGCTTAGGAGAAAAAGTCAAATGGGAAAAATTGTGGGATTCGGCCTTTGGAGAAGATCACTGAAATGAAACAGGCCTGGGAAAGAGGGAGAGGTGAGCTGAAGAATAGCACGTTAGACTGAATTCCACTTTGTCTCAGGGCTGCTGGGTTAGAACAGAACTCATCTCTTAAAAGCTACACTGCTAATTTATTTGCAAGTGTGAATTTGTGGATTCCTAACATATTTGGCATCTTTGTTGATAGCTGAAGGCCTGTGGCTTGAGGCTTGACAAGAAGTCCCCTTACTGTTGGCCTGCTTCCATCATCCCTAAAGCAGCATTAATTATTTTTAATGAAGAAATCCTTTCTGCTGCCAAATGACCTTTCCTGAGATTCAGCGTGAGCTAGATTTTCCACTTCTTGCTTAGGTTCCAAGATCTACAAATACCCATGAACATGAAAGAGATTAGCACAGAGGAAACTGATGGGGACTGGTTCCTAATTCCAAAAAAGAAAACTAATTGGAAAGGAGCAATTTATTTACAATTTGAAGGGAGAATAAGAGCTGCCCTGGATTTCCATGACTGAACACCCACTGGTTTCCTGGTTATAAACTGGAAATGAATGATATTGTGTAACTCCTAACTATTCAGACAACACCTGACACAGAAAAGCTGAGTTTCTTTCATTGAGCAGTTTCTCCCCGTAAGGATGCTGTACAAAAACGATGCATCAGAATGCTGCCTCCAGCATGGTTTCTGTGAACAGCCAAAACCCCACACAGAGTGTGATCAGACTCCTGTAAGGAATGAGGGCACATCATGCAAAGGTTTGGTCAACTTCAAAGATTAACTTGAGCATTGCCAACAGTATTTGGGATCTCAGGGGGAGTCAAGGAGCATGCACTCTGTAGTCCATGCAAACACAGCATTGTAAGCACTTTTCTATGTGCCTATAGCCCTAGTTGCTGGTTTCTCCGTGAGCTGCCTGAAGGTGGGGAAAATGCTGCATGGAAGTGAGTAGGTGCCTCATCCAACTGACCTCTTGTGTTCTTGCAGTGGAACTTCCCATTGCTGATGCTTGTTTGGAAGATGGCACCAGCACTGTGCTGTGGAAACACTTTGGTTATTAAACCAGCTGAACAAACGCCTCTGACATCGCTGTACATTGGCTCGCTGATTAAGGAGGTAAGGCAATGTGAACAGCCCGTCTACGTACCGTTCTTCTAAGATCATAAGTAAGATTGTGATTTGAATTGGTGCTTTTATTCCTCTGTTGTCTTCTCTTCTCCCAAATGAGGGAAAGACTGCAGCTCAGTTTTATTAGGCAATGAGGCAAAAAAGAGTGTGATAGATAACAGTGTTGTGTTCATAGTGTTTTTAAGTGGGATAACTCAACTAAGACAGAGTGAGTGCCATGTGAAACAATTCTTCGTATTTATGTGGCTTATAGAACAATTTAGCTACATCTGGCCTTTAAAGCCAACTCCTATACTGACGCAGAGGGAAGGTTGTAGGCTGAGAGTTCAAAATGTTGTTTTAGGTCTTGTCAGTAGGGATCCCAGGTATCCTCAGGTATTCATCATATGGAGGTGGTGGGAGGTGCACAGTACCTTTCAGGACTGGTTAGTAAAATGTCAGCCTCTTATATATAATTATGTGACTAATTGTGAGCAAAAACTAAAGGTTTTGGAGGTATGCTTTTGCCTCTCAACTGGAAAAGTCTGTTTGTTAGGCTCAGTCTAATGAGGATGATTCTATCTGTTCTTGGCTTAGCCTGGGAGAAAGCAGAAGGGCGTGCTAATAAATTGACACCTAGGGCTTCTCTGCCTGGAAAGACAATGCAAAAAATACTACCACTTAAGTACCTCCTACAGCTAATTGACTTAATAAGATTACGCAAGGTGAGTGACCATAGGGTGCATTTATCATGACCAAAATATTTTGGCTTTTATTTTTGCTGAAAAACAGAAAAAAAATCTGCCTCAGGGTGACCTGAAACATTTTTTTTTGCTTCTTTGTGGCTTTGCTGCTGACTCCAAACACCATTACTTGCACAGTTTGACATGCAACATTTTCCTGAAAACTCATTAGCCAAGATGTAAGTTCTATCAAATTCTTATTTATCATTGGTGCATCCATAGGAGAATCAGACTGCCTGTCTAATTTATTAAAAAAAAAAAAAATACTACGAAAGTAATTTTTCCAAGGTAGCACATAAGCATTTTTTTCCATTTTTTTCCATATGAGGAAGGAGCAGCTGCATAAATTGAGATTCTTTTATTAAAAAGCCACGTGAAATGAATTGGATGCTTAATATCTTGCAATTCCATTGTTAGTAAATTCAGGGAAAACAGCCTGTCAGTAGTAGGGAAGAGCTAGCCTAGAAGAGCATAATCCTTGAAACTCTTATTTCAGGAAGTAAAAAAACAGACCAATAAGTTCCACACTTTTTCTTGCACTAGAATTTCATCTAAAGTTTTGCCATTTGTCTCTTTTGGCAGAATGACTACTTGGCTAATCTAGGTTGTAAATGTGGTGGAAACTGGCATAAGTCTATTACCATCTGCTCTTGTATTCCTGTTTTATTAGCCCCCATCATCTAGTGAGATTTTACTGACTTCTTAATCCCTCTAGCCTCTGAAGAACCACAAATGTCAACCTTTGTTCAAAACAAACTTTCATGCAGTTACCCCTTGGCTCCAGCTGCACGGCAGTAGCTGAGGGCCAAGTTTGGCCAAAAGACTTGCTCTCTTTTGATTTTAAACTGGGACTCCTCCAAGAATTCGTATTGAATCTTGGCATTTCCTAAGCATGGCTGTTATTTTCACCCACATCTACTCCAGCTGGTAGCACGCAGCTATGTTACTGGAGAGCCTGGAAAACAGGGATGTATCTAGTATGGGCTCCTTCCCTGCAACTTGCAGTTTTTAAGTGCTGTGTGCACCTTGAATTACTTTATCATGTACTAGGCACATTAAAGATGTGGGGTTTTTTGCATATCTGTGTTTTGTATGTTAATAGGGAAATGTATGTTGGTGCCCTGAACTTGATTTCAGTAGGATTAGTAAAATGAGGTGATGCTGTTGATTATTCAAGTGCTAAGGTATTTTGCTCACTTATCTTGTGTGAGGCTACAAAGGTGGATGGGTTTTGCACAGCCTTCCTATAAATGCTGTAGAAATGCTTGCAAGGGAAATGCATTGTAGGAGTTACTGTGATTGTTTTTAAGGTTTCTCATCATCCTTAAGAATACAGTGATACAAATTCGAGCTTCCTGAAAACTGAACTGCAGCTCTCAGGAGCGCAGATATCCTTCAGAGTACTCAAAATCCCTCTCTACAAAGCTGTGTTTAACCTCTGTTTTAGGTGGGTTTCCCTCCAGGTGTGGTGAACATTGTGCCAGGCTATGGCCCCACAGCTGGAGCTGCTATTTCTACCCATCACAGTATTGATAAAATTGCTTTTACTGGATCAACAAAGGTAGGTGATGGATTTCTCATAAAACACCTGCTGTTTCTCTTTCTCTTTGCATTCTCTCCTATGACAGCACCAATGAAATATCAGTAATTTCTGTGTTACCAGCTCTATTTTCCATCACGTTCCATGTGACGGGATTTCTCAGAAGTGTTTGGGATTTGTCTTGGTCAGGTCTCTCAGCTTTTGCTACTGATTCTTGCTCTAGTGGAAGTCCTACCTCTATAAACTGGATTTTGCCAAATGGCACATTTCTTAAGAACTGTAAGCAGCAGATGTTCTGAAACCAGGTAGGATAGTCTACAGGAGAGGCTGGCAGGGATTTAACATCATGTCATCGACCTGATGGAGCTTCTGGGCAAGATTGCCCACTAATCCTGCCCTGCAAACGTGTGCAACTGGAAAACATGTCAGTCAGGGCCCCAAACAATTCTTCCTTGGCTTTAGTTACCACTGAGGAACTAGGACTTAAATAAAAACATGGCCCTGTGCCCACAGCTTCCTCTGTTGATGTGGATGGGATTAACATTTGAGCTTCTCTTGAGACCTGCACAGTGAAGCACCTTCTATCCATTTTTTTCCCGTGTAAATAGCTACAGCTGCCTTGCTTGGGAGAGAGATTTTAAGCGAGGCCTCTGCAGTATCAGGCACCTCCAGCCATCCTCTTCCGTGCCTATGTGGGGGAAAAGAATGCATGGCTTGGCCTAGTCCATAGAAATGAGCACAGCTGTGACATGCAAATAAATTTGTCTCCAGTAACAAGTGCTGCAAATTCTCAGACAAAAGCGTGCTTAGAAACATGAATGTTTTTCCACTCCCTGCTCTAGATTTTCCTTGCAACTTATGCGTGCACCCAGAAGACGGGGCAGTATACAAAGAATGGAAATGCTGACACCAATGGGTACAACTGAGGCAGATATAGTCTCCTCACTTGTATTTTCTTGAATAACGTTATTCTTGTCAATCATTTGCTGAATTCATCCATTCTTATGCCTGTCCTCATAATTGCAGAGTGTAATCGAATTGCTTAATTATGACAAATTACCTCAGATGGTATCTTGGTCAGTAAAGGTAACTCACGAAACATTCAAAAGCTGTTGCATTTAACAACAGTACCATCTAGTGGCTTTGTGAACTTATACTGGCTGCTTAGCTTATCCCAAAGGAGAAGGTGTGTTAAGCCTCCGTTTCTGTACAGAGATCATGGGAACAAACAAGAACACAATAAAGTAAAAGTTCACAGTGAGGTTTTACTCTCTTGATAGTTGCTCTAATCTAGAAGCTTATTCAGATTCGTGCTGGTCTCCAAATCCTAGATCAGAAACTTTTAGCCAGGATTAGATGCTGGCTATGTCAAAACAATAGAGCTTATTAGACTCATCCAGCCCACATGGATCTGTTTGGGTTTTTAATGAAAAAGGAGTATCCAGTGGATTAGGAGAGGAGGAAAACCTCAGCTGCTGGAGCCCATAGGCAAAAAACTCCTATAGAAGCTGTGCTTGTCTTCCTAATCCATGGGTGTGCAGGAAACACCAAGGGAGACAGATTCTTCGCTAATGCATGTGTAATTTAAAGTGTTTTCTTCCCCCTCCACCCATCTGTGAGTTCAGCTGCACCTCTGCAGCATTTGCAGCATAATGCTACTGTTTCTGAGCCAGGAAGTGAAGCTAATTCAAAATACATTTTGACTTAGTTTTTAAGCCCCAGTTTGGGCTCAGGGCCAGCCTGGAAATGCTGATCACAAACTCCACGAGAGTTTTCCCGTCTAGATGTCTTCCTTTCCCTCAGCCTGTTAACTTGCTTCTTTGGCCAGCTACCCTGTAGCACTACCTCTTGTGAAGCTGTGTTCCTCTGCAGCATGATGCAACACTTTTTCTTCTGTCTCTGGGACTGGGCTGCTGGGTGACTGGAGATGTCTGTACTGCTTGGTGTAGGAGTCCTGCTTGAGTTACAAAGGCAAGCCACGAGAAATGCAGAGCTAGAACTGCCAGCTAGCTGCTGCATGCTTTACTTCCTTGCAGTTTCCCTGCAGGGCAACAATATTTTTAGGCAGAAAGAAAGTTAATTGCCACATGCAAAGGTAAGATACAAAAAGAACAGTTAGAAAATTAAGAAATTCAAATATAAGGTGACACTTAATAATAATAAGAGCCTGCCTTTACAATTGAAACTCCCACAGTGTTTTAATGCAGACTGCCTCTAATAAAATTAGATTACTTAGTGATACTGACATTTGATTTATGCCCTTCTTGTGAGGAATTCTGTCTCTCAAAAAGGGAATATAAATTGCTGTTTTGGTGTTAGCAGTATAAAAAAGGAATAGCATAGTCAGAATTTGGGAAAAACATTTTTTTCTGGGGGAGGTGGAGAGGAGAAATACCCTTAGTTTGACGTTATTTGGATTAAAATGTGGAAGTAGAGTTAATCCTTCCCTGTGGCCAGATAAATTCCACCAGATCATCAGAGCAGGCTCCAGTGCAGAGAGCGCTGCAGCAAAGCTGGCCAGAGTTTATCTGTTGCCATCATCAGGTGTGGCCTAGGAAGGGACATATCTCAGCCACTCGTGCATGAAGCAGCTCAGCCTGAACTATGGGAAAGATGTAGGTTTCTCCTAAATGTCAAAATCTCTTTTGGGCTTGCTGGTATGGGAGTGGTAGCAGATAGGAACAGTCAGTTTTTATCACCGTGTTGTCAAATTCTACTTGAAGAAGTTTAATTCCTCATTGTTTTAAAATAAAACATAATCCTTGGAGCTCCAGTAAGTACCAGTGTTGCTCACTACCTTGCAGTGGGTGGGAAATGCCTTGTTCTGCAGCTCTGGGTGGCAGGTAGCTTCAGAGTGCAGTTCCTGTAGCTCTCCCACATCGCCCATCATTTCAGATCTGCCTAACACAGACATTAATTCTGGGGCTGCTTTTAACCCAGCCCATCGCAGCAGTAGGAAATTCAAGGCATTTAAGAATGCCATCCCTGACTTGTACCTGCTTCAGCCACCCGCTAGGCTCTTTTATTCTTGTTAGCATCCCACTTGACACACTTTGTTAGGACTTTCAGGGGAAAACAGCCCACGTTCTGTTTGTGTCTCAATGCTACAGGTTGGAAAACTGATCAAGGAAGCTGCTTCTAAAAGCAACCTCAAAAGGGTGACATTAGAGCTTGGAGGAAAAAACCCCTGCATCGTGTGTGCAGATGCTGACTGTAAGTATGGGCTGCTGTGTTCGTTTGCTGTAATACACCAGGTGTGGTGCTCTTTGTCTGCCTCTGCTGTCCTTTGGCAATCAGCAGGGTGGTGTTTGCTCCTTCTTCCACCCCAAAGGCTAGAGGAAGCCCCTGTCCAAGAGCAGGATGATGTTGTGCTTTCCTTGAGCTCTTCCCCAGCACAGGGAATGTTCCCATGATGAATGAGCAGACCATTATCCTATTGTCTTCCCTGGGGATGGCTGTAGTTGCAGATAAATCTTACTTTTGTGTCTTTGCTATTGTTGTGCCTTCTCTTTGGTGGTACTGCAAAGCCTGAGCAGAGTGGTGGGGAAAGTAGTTTCCTAAAACGCAGCCCCCCTACAGGCATTCATGGCAGGAAGGTTTTGTAGCAGTAGGAAATATAGGTAAGCTGTGACCACCAAAGGGATTTGAAAATCCTGTTTGGCTTGGGAAAATACCCTTCCCTCTCCTGTGGAGGTTGAAAGCCAGAGGTACTTGTGCCATCTGTTAACGGTGGGTGTTGCAAGGAGCTGGCCTGAGCTGGTTGTGCGAGACAAGGGCACGCTGCTTTCTGAGCAGTCACCACTGAAATGAGTCTTCAGGAACCAACACATGGCATCTGGGGATCCACATCTCAGTTCCCACAGTGGAGAAAACCTACTTGCTGCCCTCAACGAGTCCTTGTGAAGAAAGTGTCTGTGGCTGTGGCCAACTAGACACAGACAAAAGGCAGGAAGGAGGGTGGAAATAATAAGAGAGCTGGTCTGAGGGCAGTGTGAGGCCGTGTGAGTGTCTTCAGAGGGTGTGAGCTATTGTCAGCATTTTTTTTAAGAAGGCTTTCAAAAGAGAAAGGAAAAAACAAGTCTGGAAACACTGAAAGGCTGAAACTATGCATGTGGTAACGCTTTTTCCTCCTGGGCCGTGGTGCAGTGGACTTGGCAGTGGAGTGTGCCCATCAAGGCGTGTTCTTCAACCAAGGGCAGTGCTGCACGGCGGCCTCGCGCGTGTTCGTGGAGGAGCAGATATACCCCGAGTTCGTCAAGCGCAGCGTGGAGTACGCGAAGAAGCGACTCGTTGGAGACCCCTTTGATGCCAGAACTGAACAAGGGCCCCAGGTAACTGTGTGCCTGAGAACAGTCGTTGTTTGGTTATTGGTTGCGTTTTGGTTTAATTTTCCTTGTGTAAATATTATCCTTGTGAATACGGTCCCAGCAGAAGCCCAGAGGGTGAGTAATGTATCATGGCTTTATTTTTCTCTCTATTTTAAATACCAATCAATCACAACTGTTGAAATGTTATGTTGTAATTTTTTAAACACAAATGTATTTAATTCACTTCTTATCCAGCTTTATGGAAGGGGCTGCCTCCCTGGTACAGTAATACAAAGCATGTTGCAGCGAGGAACAGCGATGCACAGATGGGTGCAGCTGCAGAAACGACCATTCAGCTACTTGGCTGTGCTGGTGATGACAAGTAGTTAAAACCCAGAGACTCCTGAGTCCCCACTTTCCCTCTCCTCCTCTGCCCCGCTTCTGATCCTTTGGAGAGGTTTCAGCTGAATTAGCAGGAAGAACCATGCCAAGCTGATGTCACAACCCGTTTTGTCAGAGCTTCCAGAGCCTTCGTCTTATTTCTTCCTTTCGAAGCGATTTGAGCTGAAGTCAAGAGCTCTGGAGGAAGATGATCCTTGAGTCAGATCTTCTGCAGGGCCACTGCTTGCTTCCAAAAATAAAGGGGGAATCCCAGAAAGCTATAGCCCTGGCCTCCTGTTCTCAGTATTGCACTGTGAGATTTTCTTCCTTGATGCCATATGGGATCTCGCAGTGAGGGGATGACCATGGGACATCTGCCTCCCCTTATCTGGAGCTCTAGGTCCATTCACACTTGATCTGTGCAAGGGAAAACTTAATTAAGTGTCCTCATGTATGGGGAATAAGGTGACGTACGTCCCCAGATCGTGCTGGTGCCCCATCTATCCCTTTAACTGGCCTAGAATGGGATTTCAAATTGCTCATCATTCTTAAGAAGATAATCCCATGTTGGAACTTGCTTCAGCAGAGATGAGCTGACCCTCAAACTACCACAGGGTCTGCCCTTGTCTTCTGTTAAGAGCTCTCAGCTTTTCTTTTTTGTGTGTTTGTTTGATATATCATCATCCCAAGCCTTACCCAGCTTTTGATAGCAGTGGATGAGTTGCATTTATAATTAGTCCTGTGAGGACCATGTTCATCTGGCTGCTCAGAGACCACTGACTTCATGAGAAGAGCCCCTGAAATCATAGGAAGTAGTAGTGGGGTTTTAAAGGGTGAAACCCCCTGCGCTGGGCAGAACATGTAGGACTGGGCTGCTGCTTTCAGCTCATCCTTGCCCTCAGTACTTGACAGGCTGGCAGAGCACCACGCTCTGGTATTGCTGCTGTGATTTAAGGGAGATTGCAGACAGCTATAATTAAGGGTAACAGTAAGTACAAATAGTCTGGCCAGGTTGCAAATACAGCTTGTACGTCCTCTTTCCCTGTCCTAGCTTACCTGTTATGCCTGTGGGTAGGAGAGAGAGCACCCAATACGCACATACCTGAAGTTCTCTGCATGCAGCTGTCAAGCCCAGGATGGAAAAGTGTTGAGAAAGTAGAAGGAAACTGCTAAACCCTAGGCTTTCATGTGGCTCCCAGTGCAAACCACTTCCTCTGCACCTATTTTTGCTTTCTCTCTGGAGCCTATTGTAAGATGCAACACGCAGAAATTCAGGTAGAAGAGAGACATGATGTAGTGTCAGAAGGGCTTAAAATACCTCCAAAGTAGCAAAGATTCACACCTGCCCACCAACTACCATTGAACTGTAGTTTCCAGACCAGATTTCTCCTCTATTCCTGAAGTAACCTGCTGTGCTGTGAGGAGGGTTTTTTTCTGAAGTGATGGAGAAGGGAAGAGTCACTAGGAGAAAAAAATCTCTTCCTCTTGCCCTTCATCTCTCCACTTTGGCCCTCGGTTGCCTCAGATCCAGGTCATTGCTTTTACTCTCCTTCTGTGGGTCAGAGGATGAACAAAACCTGTACAGAGGCTGCTGTACAGCCCCCATTCCGGGACGATTGCCGGCTTAGATGCCAGCAATGTGAAGAAGTTGGAGCCAGCCCTTAGGCTCCGGGGTTTGTAGCCCGTCATCTTTTTGCTCCTTCACCAGCTCTGTGTGCTTTTAGCCAGACAACAGGACCAGGAATTTAAACAGAGCTCGGAAAGCGTGAAACAGGAGATCCTCTGCAGCCCAAGCTCTGAGCTGGTGCTGTGTGAAACCAAGCTGAGCACAGCGCTCTGGGTAGCTGCAGGGGACCTCCTGGAGTGGGACAGACAGTACTGCTCTGTGAGAACTTGATGTAAGCTAGTCCTGGAAAATAGGGCCTGTCTGCAGCTGTTCCTTCCTATAGTGTACCGCGTTTATAAGCTAGATTGGGGAACTGGCTGATTCAGGTCTGAACCAGCCTTTTTGGAGGTGAGGAAGAAACGTTTTAGTCAGATCAGTTCCCTGCGATGTGTTACCGTGCACTGGCATGGATGCTTGTGGTGTGGGTATAGGGAAAATACTGTGTCAGCTGCAATATTGGGTTATGCTGATATAAACTGCACTTCTCAGATCAAAATTAAGTCAAATTTAAACAGTATTAAGTTTAAATAGAAGAAGTGAGGCATGCTTCTGATGTGACTTCTCCAAAGCTCACATGTGTCTGACTGTGTTGGCTGGCTGGAATTCAAAGGACACCACAAGAGACCTGAGGGGTAATCAGGGCTGTTTGAGTAAAGTGCCAACCTCAAATAACAGACCAAGGGCATTTTTCAACTTTGGATTCCTGTGAGCTGTATCATAGGAAAGAATAAAGTAAATCTGCACAGATGGCTGGCTGGTTAACCAGAGCATTTACAAAGCTGTGAACAGCAGACTGCGTTAGGTAAGACTAAGGTCCTGGTGGACAAAACAGGGATTAAATCAGAACAAGACTAGGCTGGTTTTCTTGCTGTAAAGCCCCAAGTACTGGGGTTTCTGGACTATAAAGGATGGTTTACAGGAAGAAAATAAGCTCTAAAGCTGCTGTGTGGTACTTGCCAGCCAGAAGTTATTCAGCCCAAACCCCACTGCTTGAATTTTGAGACGGTGAATATTTTCCTTAGACCGTAGTTGTTTGTGGATGTTAGGATTAAAGTTTGAAAGTAGAATATGTGAGTAGAAAGAGCGTGTGTCAGTCTGTTGGACACAGTTGTGGGATTATTCTGTAGGATTACAAATGCTAGGTTTGGAAAAGGAAAAACTGCTTCTGGCAATCTTGACTTAAATGAAGCAAGACGTGAAGATTTGGGGGTTCTCAGCATTACAGCAATCTTTAAAAGCCTTCCTCTTTTTTGAATTAGATGGACAAAAAATAGAATTTGCTCTACTAGTGTGTTTTTAATAGAAGGCAATAGTCAAACCATAAATAATAGTGGAGTAGGGAACAGGATTTAAACAAGCCTTGCAAGCTCTGGTTACAATGACAAACAGTTCCACCCTTGCATGTCATTTTTACAAATGTTTTCTTTCCCCAGTGTCTTTTCATCTAACTGTAGTTTGCCTTGCAACAAGTTACAGCTGTATAAATATCCTTGTTTTGTTTTCTGTGTTGTGAAGTGGATGAACTGGATTGGTCTGGATCACAGACATGCCAGGATGGAAAGCAGTTGCAGATATTTTCAAATTATTTACATTTGGCAGCTAAGCAACCAGGCAAAGAGACAATATGCGTGACACCTGCCAAGCTTACTTATGTGACACCCTGTATCCTACACGAGGGCACGCATTTCTTTGTGCAGTAGCATGTATAAAGTGTTTTCTTGGGTAGCATCATAACACATGAGAGAACACGAGCACTTAGTACAAGCTGTCCACAGCGCATGTGATATGCACATCTGTGTGGCAGGAGATGTGCTGTTCTGGTTTTGCTGTGTACCAGAAGTACCCTAAGGACACCCTCCTGAAGCTTTGATATTTGTCTGCAAGCATGAAAACTTGGATTGTGTGTGGCCAGGATTAACAAGGGACAGGATATAGTCTGTAATCTGGGGGAGTCGAGCGTGGAGCGCTCCGTGTAAACAGTCCCAACTGGCAACTGGCCCTGCCAAAATGAAAGCAGATGTCTAGGGAGGGGTACTGAACCAGCACAAGCATTTGGTGATAGCTGGCATTCAGAATCACCTCCCAGGCAACCAGGAGCCAGCGGTGGAGCCTTTTATTTAATTCACCTCCATGGATTTGTTGATTTTGTTTGTTTGTTTGAAGTTCTCCATTAGTCTTTGACTACCTGCAACATGCTGCGAGGAGGTGTTTCATTGCATAATTATGCATCGTGCAAATAGCCATGTTCCTTTGTTTGGGAGCTGATGGTATCTGCAGCACAATGCTGCACGTGGAGCATAAAAGAAGGACCAGTACTGGTCAGTATTGGGCTTCTGCACCTCTTCCCCAGCACACGGCCTGCTGTGCTGGTGGAGGGATGTCTCCTGCCAGTGCAGAAAACCAAAATGTGCTGGGATGCTACTAGTCTCTGAGATCCTCGAAAGGTGATTCCATTTTTACAAATATGACTTCAGTGCAGTCGTTGCTCTGAAGTCACCCAAGTGACCAGCTGCCAGCCAGATGTAGCCCCGTTCACTACAGGCTCTGGGCTTCACCCTGTTCATCACCCAGTGGAGTGTGAACCTGTTTACCTCACAGCTGGACAGTTTGTCCATAAGGATGCTGTGAGAGACGATTGGTAAGACCCAGAGCTGGTGTGAAGTGAGCCATGGGAGTGCGTGTTTGGGATGCTGCAGAAGGGAAATTGGAGAGACTCCCTCCGTGTGGCAGCAAACTATTAGATCAGATTAAGCTATCATATGTGTTTTCTGTGGCTCAGGGCTATGCCCATCTCCTGTCTTTCATCGTGCTTACTGCCTGGCTTGCAGTCATAGATGAGGTGTAAACTTTCCTGCTCTAACGGTGCCCTGCAAATATGTCCCTGAACATACAACCTGGCAGCAGCAGGTCACAGTCTCTGGAACTGCAATGGTAACTCACTGATGTTTTCTTTCTTTTTGTCTGACAGATTGACCAAAACCAGTTTGATAAGATCCTGGAGCTGATAGAAAGTGGGAAGAAAGAAGGTGCAAAGCTGGAGTGTGGGGGTCTTGCCATTGAAGACAGAGGCCTCTTTATAAAACCCACTGTGTTTTCAGAGGTCACTGACAACATGCGTATTGCCAAAGAAGAGGTACAGTACAAGTCACGTGAACCTTTAGATACATTTCCATGATGTAAATGGAAAAGCAGCTGTAGAAAAGAGGTGTGGTCGTGGTTTGAAGTGAAAACTTGAAAGGAGAATAGAAATTTCACATATTTTACTTATTACAATGTCCTAAAAACTGTGAAATCCATATTCTTCTGATGAAGTGTCTGCAAGGTGAGCTTCAATCCGGAGTGGTATGGGGGGGAGATGATGTGAGGAGGAGAGCAGCACAGGCAAAAATGCTGACAAAATCTTTTAGCAGCATTTTATTCTTTTGTGCAATTAATGGTGTGCCTGCCTGCCAGCCATTTCTACTGCCTTGCTGCTTCCCCCATTTTATTTTGTTTTCCAAAAGTGAAGTAGCCCTGTGAGTGTGCTCCCTGTACAGTAACAAACCCACATAAAAATCTAGTAGGTATCATTACCCAAAGGCTTTTGGGTCTCCTTTTAAGAGAACTTCATATAACAGAAAATAAAAACAAACGCCTTATCTAGATTTAGCTGCTGTAAATGCTTTTTGTGGATAGTGAGATGGACTGGTTTCTGACAGAATCCTAGATTTTAAAGCTCAGTAAAAATAACTGAAGTAGCATCAGGCTGGAGCAATTCAATGTTGTCCTGTAGTTTGGAAGGTTTTCTGAAGACAGAATTATACACTCCTTCTGTGTACAGACTGATGGCTGTGTGTGCCATGTGCTCTTACAAACCTCCTGCTGAGTAAACTTGAAATTGCTTAGCTGATTTCAGTACATGCTGATTCCAAGTGATAGAGGAGAGTATGATGTGTGTTCTTGATCCGCTTCTTTGTAAAAAGGAGTTGCTTTATTGCAGAAAGAGGGAACTAGAACTCTGGGACCTGAAGCTGGTGAGCGGGGAAGAAATGGCCCTGTTATGCTGCCACTGAAGAACATTAATCAAGTAGTGTTAGCATCTGAAATAATCTCAAATTCTCTTCCCATAGTAAAATCCCCTGAGGCTGACCATTTTTTCCCAATAAGAAATATGGTCAAAGCCAGCAAAATGCAGATCTAATACTCTGGCTTCCATTATCCATACGCAGAAAAAAATGAACAAGCTGCATGTGATTAGATCCTGTGATATTCCTTTGAAATATAGTTAATCTACTTTTCATCATGTTCCCCAATGGAAAATAAGTAGCTGCTGAAGTCCAACTGGCACTTGTTCTTTATAGTTTAGCCTAGTGCATTTTATGGGGCTGCTTACTGTTCATTCCCGACAAAATATTTAGATGTCTCAGATCTGCCGCAGAATCTCCAAGGAACCTGGGAAAGATATCAGTCAGTCTGGGCATGAGTTGCATTCTAAAAATAGAGGGGGATAAAAGTTGAAATCCCATGACAGGCCTTTTTTTTTTTTCTTTCTTTTTTTTTTAATGAACTGACTCCAAATCCCCAGTCATGATTCATGAGGTTTATCCAGTTTCATTCATATACGGTTTTGTTGCAAATGCACATTTTTTCTTTGCCTAGGATCAAGGCTCCAGTTAAATACCTGCATCTTCCAAAAGGGTGAAAAATAGAAACACCTGTATAGGCTAAAGAGCCAGGCAATTTGGTTAGCCTGGCCCTCAATGGGGCACAAGTGGGACTTTATCTCACCTTCAGTGGGGGAATGATTATTGTATTGCAAGACCATGCAGGCCCCACCTTCAGTAGCGTTCATGATGGGAGGTTCTATGCCCAAAATTGGGAAGTATTGTGTGCGCTGGCTCTGCTTCTATACTGCCAACCTGGGATGCCAAGTCTGTGGTCAAACACATCCGTGGTAAATGCTCTGCAGGCAAATTAACTGCATGCACTTACAGAAGCAAAGTTAAGGCCAAGGAAGAAAACCTGCAATACATGACGTATAGTAATTTCTTTTTAAGCGCATTCAACTTCTTCTGAGTCCAAAAGGAGAATGAATTATAAATGAAGTAAGGATGAATCATCTGAAACTTGTCCAGATCTAACTGCTTATTTGATCGTTGTAGATGATCCACTAGTTGTTGGATCTTTGCATTTATTAACCACCACAGCACATCACTGTACTTCCTTTAAATTCAGTTTAGTGAGTAGTTTATAAGAGACTCAACCACTGACTTCTAGAAAAGCTAGTATATAACACTTCAAATATAATATCCAAACAGAGCTGCTGATTCTGATTACTTCAAAATCACCATAAGTAGCAAAGGCTTTCCTGTGATAATGTTTAATTTGTGTGCAGATTTTTGGGCCAGTTCAGCCAATTATGAAGTTCAAGAGTATAGAAGAGGTCATAAGAAGAGCCAACAATACTGAGTACGGACTCACGGCTGCGGTGTTCACAAAGAATCTGGACAGAGCGTTAATGTTGGCTTCTGCATTGCAATCAGGAACTGTCTGGTAAGCAGTGTGAGATCGCAGTTTGGGCTGTGCTTTTGTCTGCTGGGAGTGGGGAGGGCTGTATGATTTGTAATCCCATATAAATGCTGGAGGTCAGATGTGTTAGTAGTCTGTTTAATTCTTGATATTCTCCTAAGCAACATCCATTCATTAAAATAAAGTGGTGAGGACCAGACAGTCTGGCACGAAACGGTGCATTTATTCATTCAGTCACTGTAGTTCTTTACATCTGGAGAACTCTGAAAATATAAGGGTTGTACTAAGCTCCACCAGATGTGATGCCTTCCAAAATCATGTATGTAGAAAAGAGCAACTCTTATGATCTTAAGGTAGCATCAATTGGGGTCTTGCACAAACCGTTATGGGCAGTAGATGGCATCGTACCACTGTCAGAAAAATAAGTAGCTATTTTACTTAAAACACTTCTTATTTTATATTAGTATAGTTTTAAAGATGGAATCCTGATTATTTTTTTCCCCACTGAAGATAGGAATTTGATCTGGTCTCTGAACTTGATGCATACAGAGGACTGATTTCAAGAATTTGTGCCAGAAGAATTCACCTCTTTGAAAAATATTTAAATAAAAATGGGATGTTGGGCTTTGAAGGATCTATGTACTGTACTGAAGGTGCAGTCCTACAGCACCAAGCCATAACTGACTCTCTTCAGTCATTTCATCTCCCTAAATTGCTGAGGAGGTATCTACATGAGCTCCTCCTACCTGTTGTTTACAGAAATGGGGCTAGTGCTTCTCTTTTCCTGTGGCACAAGTGTCTAATGGAGGCCAACTCTTCTTCTATACCTGGAAGTGGGTGGTAGGGCCTGGTTTTGAGTGTTTAGACAACTTTGTGTAAACATGTTTGTTTCAGAATGCACTTCATTAATCTGGGGCAGACTTTCATCTACCCTCAAGCATGAATCTGAATGCAGCATAAATTCCAGCTCTAGCATGAATGTCTTAGCTGTTAGAGATTATGAAGGGAGATATGAATCAGACTCAGAGCACTACTCAAATGCCTTCTGTTTCTGTAGCAAAATAAGATGATATTGCTAAAATCTGATTTCTCAAGTGAAGGAACTGTAACAGATTTCAGCCTTTTGTAACGCTGCTGTTGTCATCACCTTTCTTCTCCCTGGTATTGAATTGTCTTTTTATGTTTTTATCATAGGATCAACTGTTACAATGCACTCTATGCACAGGCTCCTTTTGGTGGCTTTAAAATGTCAGGCAATGGCAGAGAACTGTAAGTTTTGCTCAGTATTTTGTTTATATGTGGTTGGTAAATGCAGTAGTGATTGTGACTTGGTGATAATATTGTTGAATTTGCTTTTAAACTATCAGGCTTGCAGCTTGCTCCATAGGTTGGTGCTAGGCCAATACAGCATGATACAGATAAAGCACAGATTTGAGAACAATAGCAGTACTTTCATCTACTTGATGAACTATTGCCAGCTTCCATTCAGCAAATTCCACTTGCAGGCATTTTTTTCTTACTAGTTAGATCTTTAGATCAAGAAGGATTTTTAGATCACTTTGGTCTGGGGCCACTTGTATCTACCTCAAACCTCTTCCATCTTTACATGCTGGTATCTAGGCCTCCCTTTACAGCTGCATCACACATCTAGCTTTCAAGTGTTGGAGCTAGAAACACAAGGAATGATCTCCCAGAAGAGATCCCCACCTTCTAAGCCTGCCTGTAATTTAGGAAATTACAGAAGGATCTTCTGTCCCTTTTCCCCAGCCTGACCTGTTGCAGCTGGCTGTCAGACATTCCGGCTCTCTAGTTACTAATGCAGACGTTTTTAAAACAAGGTCATCCTACAAGTTAGAGTTGAGAAATTGACTTATATCTTAATTTTCTTCTTGTACAGGAGAGAGGTGGGTTTTATTACACCATACAGAGGAACCTGATGCACCTCTTCTTTCATAAGGCAGATTTATTTCCAGGAACCCTTTCCAGTAACTGTTCTGGTGCATCTTCTGCTCTGAGATATTCAGACGCCTCACTTGCTAAGCACAGCAGATGAATGAATCTTCAAAAGAGACATGCATGTTGAGACCTTTTGGTTTGCTTTGCCTGATTGCCTGGCTAATTAAAGGATGTCAGGGGCATATCCCTTGGGCAAGGAATGGCAACGAGGGCAGTTTCCACCAACTACAACACAATGCAGTGGTTGGATTTGTCATCAATATCGATTTCTGGAGTAACTGTGCCCTCCTGTTGTGCAGTTACCTGGTTGACAGAAGCCTACTTTCAGTGAAAAAGTAACTTTAGTTATTGTTTAAGCACTGATAAGTATGTTCATAAGTATGGCTTCTCACAATAGTACTTGATTTTCACTAGGCTGAGAGTTACAAGCTGTGACCACAGTAATTACAGGGTGTAGTTGTGTGTACATACATGCATGTGCATAGATTGTTACATGTGGGGAGCCAAAATGATAGCTGATGTAAGTTAATTTGGATCTGGTTTTAATGGCCTGATGTTATCTGCAGCAGCTGTTGATCTGTGGCTAAGATGCACTTGTGCAGAAATCTCTTATCTTAGGGAAGCACACATTAACATGCTGCAATCGTTTGTCCCTTTCCCTCCTCTCTCTTCTTTTCCAGTGGTGAATATGCCTTGGCAGAATATACTGAAGTGAAAACAGTCACCATTAAACTCTCCCAGAAGAGTCCATGAAACCAGAAGGCCTAAAAATGCTGACACTCTGAATGTGACACATCGGGGGTGTATTCAGAGCAAGTGGGAGGGGAGGGGTAGGAAAGAAAATGGAAACGCCTAAGTTTTTTCCTCTAGAAACATTGAATCTACTGGACTCCATTTTGTCAACTGGCTCTTGGAAAACTGATTTAACTGACCCTACTGGCAGCATAGCACACACGTGTACTCCACGAGTCCCTGGCTGTACATCTGTCTGCTACCTGTGACTAAAATGCTGGTCAGTCACCTGTCAGCGGGACATCTGCTTTCAAACTGTACCCCTGAAGGACTTGGACATCGAGGGCATGTTAGAGAGACTTCCGATACCTTTAGCAATTAGTTGTTTGTGAAACAATTAGTTGATTGTTAAACACCTTCAGAGGCATGTGGGTTTCTCTTGGCATGAACGGACCTGAGTAATAGGGCTAATCCAACTTAACTGACGTTGATGGAGTTTGTGTGAAGACTGCAGATGAAGTTTTGGATGGGAGTGCAAACTTTCAAGGAAGGATCTAAAGAAATTTTGTTTGAAAGAGCTATCTTGGTCTCTCTAAAGATATGTGCATCCTCCATATTGGTGATATTCTAGCCCTGAATGAGATTGATGGGAGTTTCCTGGAGGACTCTTTTGGGGCCATTATTTCACCCAACAGAGCTAGACTTTAAAGTGTCCTTTGAACCTGATGTTTTGGTGTGCACACATTTCACATGCTGCATATGCAAGTTACTGACTTGCTAGCCCTTCTGGCTCCGAATGAGTCGCAATTGTATCTCATACCTTCACTATAGCACTTTTTGCAAGAGGATTTTGCACTGTACTTACCGTGATGACACAGAGTTGAATTCTAAACATGTAGCATGGTAGATACCCCAGAGAAAACATCCCACACCAGTCCTGATCTGGGAGAGGGAGCAGAAGAGCTGCAAGAAGCTGTCCTTCTCTCTCTTTCACTTTCAGGCTGTGTGAACATCTCTTCATTTTTTGAGCCAGAGCTGTCATGATGAGAGTAAAACAAGCTCTTCTCACCACTTCTTTTTCCATTGTGAATGTAGCTTAAAATCGAGTTCTGGAAGTACAGTATAAAAAGGCAGGTGCTCCCAAGCACATACTGAATGCTAAAGATGTGGGTGTACAAATGAGTTACCAAGGAATAAGCTATGGCTGGACTTAATGTCTCAGCACCTCTGCAGTAAATGCCTCTGAGAGTGTCGTCACCTTGTAGCTGGTCCTTCACTGAGGAATAAACTGCTTCGAGTTGTCTCTTGCTTATAGTCATATAAGCATGCATGTACACGAATAGAATCCTCGGAGTGGCTGTCACATTGAGTTCATGCCTTAGCATCTCCTGCAGTAATTTCTTTGCACACCCAGACATTACTTACTACGAGACTGATGAAAAGCCACCTGCTGTTGTCAGGTCCTGAGCTCACTCCTTTCCTTCCCCCTCCTCCTGTTTCTATACTGGAGAACCACTGGTAAGAGAATGGGAAGTCCCAGGTCTGCAGGAGCTGTACATATGCAGATTTTGAAGCAGGAATGAAAGTCTAACCTCTACTCTCCAATGCAAGCAGGAACTTAACTGTAACTTCTGTGATCAGAGAGACAGCTAGTCAGTAACAAGTTCTGTTGTGAGTGGACCTTTTTTCGGAAGGGGAAGGAAGGTGGGTGGTGGTAAGTAAGGAAAAAGTTTGCATGAGCCTAAACTTCCTTATTAGTTGTTGAACATTGAAATTGCACTTCAACACTGCTTAATTTCTTAAATGACATACCTCCAACAGCTGTGTACAACTAAGTGCCTGTCCTCCCATGGATATGTGGGACAGGTAAATCTCCCCATCCAGTGAAGAAAATGTCCTCCCTACCCCATGAAAGGCCAAATGGGAACATTGTAAATAAGCTTCTATTTTTGTAATACACTTAGAGCGCAAACATCTTCTCAGACAAATATTTTACTTTTGCCTACTTGACGGTTTTCTAGGGCTGCAGTCAGACAGTAGGGAGGTAAGGCAAACAGTAAAAGGCTGGTTATCTTGATATATCTCTGTATTCACTTTTGATAAACAGTGGTTTTAACTGAAATCATCTGAAAATCTTAAAATCCTAGTATTCTGGCTTTATATGTATAATATATATTTCAACACTTTTTTTTTTCCCTTATCAAGTTTTTAAAAAGTTGATGTATCTCTTATTGTATAAATCAGGGTTTGACTCTACACACTGAATTTTCTAAGTTATATAACATTAGACACTAACTTTAAAATAACCCCTTAGAGGGTATATATTCTTTCATTGCACAGTAAGGCTTTCATATGAAATACTACTTTTTTTTTTTAAAGAACTATATTTATAAATTAGGATACAGTTAACCTAATGTATTTTTATAGCTAAAGGTACATGAAAATGCTATGTTTAAACCTCTTGTATATATCTAGACTATGGGTATCTTTTTGTAATAGTTCTTGTTCCTAATAAATGTTTAACTTTGTGAAACGCTTTTTGAATGCTACATATTGGTATGCCTCAAAGTGAGATGGGGAAGTGGGAAACTTCTGCTGAGTGTACTCATTGTAACAGAGGAGTAATTAATACTTTATTTACACTGATTAGTGTGCCTTGAGATAATTCCAGCCCCTCTACTGCACACGTTAAGACCTTTTCCATCAGTGTGTAGCTTCCACTCAACCCAGTCCTCCTGCTACCGTTTCTTATTTCACTCTGAATTTGGCCCATTGTGTTAGTAAAAGTGATCACTGGAAAGAGTTAAGGTTTCGTGCTTCTGAAACAAAATGGCCCTGTATTGCTCTAGTTACAGCGGGCTCTTCCTCGAACAGCCTGGTGTCTGTTTCCCTCGATTCAGTGACCCAGCAGTATTCCCCAAACAGAAACGTGCATGGGGCTCACAAGAGGCAACGTAATTTCAAGGTATCTTTATTTCAAGGTACCTTTTACACTCAGCAGGACTGAATGTAGAGTGTGTGTTGGCATTTCTGTATGTGGGGATTCAGTATCTCACTGGGGGACTCTGAAGGAATCTTAGGTTGGATTCATTTCTGCAATCTGTGAAGAATAGCCTGTTTTAAAAAGGGCAAGGGAAGTGAAGTGCTGAAGTGTGGTCAGTGCTCTACAAATAAAAGCCAGATCGTGTGTCTGTTAGCTTACCCTTTAAGCAGTCGCTTTTGCCACTTACAGGGAGTAGAGCAAGGAAGGAGAACAGGGCTGCAGCGGGCAGGGGCAAGCACAGCTCCTTCCAGTTTAGAGCAGGATGGATCCTTTCTGCCTTCTGAGGTGAGCCTCAAAACAGAGAATTTGAAGGGACTGTGGACCATGCTGCTGGATGGGATGTCCTGCCCTGGGCTGGTTGCTTCCTAAATCCCTTTGTGACACAGTCATCACTAGTAAGACTCTGCTCCACACCTTCCCTTTCCTGTCTTATTTCTTTCATCTGCAGTGTGGCCAGAGCAAGAAAATGCCACTGTCTTTAACTCTCTTCACATCTAATACACGTGTGATAAAAGACACAAATACCTGTCATCTCCCTACACAGGGCAAGCCAAGCCCCTTGAATTTTCCACTTGGTAACAGCACTGCTCAGGAGCTTTGTGACCAAACATTAGAAAGGAGAAGACTGGAGATACAAATTATTGTAACATAATCAATGGAGACGTAGGCCAGGAAGAGGGGGAAAAGATATGCTGGAAAAAAATGGAGAAATTCTTGCTAGGGGAATTTATAGTCTCAATCAAAATAAAAGGAAAAATGTGATTTCAGTGGGTTTTTAAGCAATGGTACTAAAAAAAAAAAAAAAAAAAAAAAGTTTTTTAAAAGCTCTGGATAAGAGCCAGGCTGCGAGGCATAAAAGACAGCAGACTGGATAGAAAGTGGAAAGGGTGCTAAACAGATAGCACTCGTGGTTGCAGCTAAAGCAGATTAGTGGACACCTGAACAGAGGTAGGAGCACCAGTGAAGACCCATCCTCTCTGTGTCTCCATGAGCATAGCAAAGAAGCACCGTAGAGCAAGTCTCAGACTGCAGCAGCCATTCAGCGCATGGATGTGGCTTTTTCCCTCCTCAGGAAATCATCAGAGACCCATTTCTTGGTTTGGGCCAGGGAAAAAACAAACAAACAAAACACACACAAAAATCTTTGTACATAATTTAAGGAATCATCATGAATAACAAAACAGAAGTCATGCAGAAATGGTGTTCTCTTAGTAGGTCCAGTGGGTAGGGAAAATAAAGTCGTAGTAGTACCAGGTTTTATAAAAGTCACCTGGTATCAGGAAATTAATTGGGTTGTGATGGGGAAAGGACGTGTCCAACACCACCCTAGCTGGACTAACACCTTCGGCAGAAAGGGGGCGATCTTGCTTTGCTTTTCCTAAAAGGCGCAAACCCACTCCACAATCTGGAAAAGGAGCAACTTGCACAGAAACAAATCTCAGATGAACTCTGCGTGGAGAAGAGTCAGACTTGTCAGAGTCACTGATAAGCACCAGCCTCGGGCAAAGGAGCTGAAAGTTGAGCAGTTTGTTCTTGTTTCTTACACCAACTTTGTGGATGGAGGACCTCAGGCTCAGTACGAGGCTGCTGAGGGAGTCTTTTGTTGGTGGGATGGCCTTGTTTTGGTGGCAGAATTGTGAGGGCCATGGTGCCTGAGTGAAACCTTTTGCTTTATTATGTATAAAATGAATATTAAAGTTAACACTCCCTGAATATGATAATTAGATTAATAAAAGTACATAGTAAACATATGTGGTTATAGTACTCAGCTGTTCACCCAAATCATGCTAAATGCCTCCCCAGGAAGGGAACAGGTAAGGTTAGGATATAAAAGAGTTATGAGGGTTAGTGTAAAAAAAAAAAAAAAAAAAAAAAGGATGGAAGAAACAAGTTGGGAGGAAAAAAAGAAAAGCTGGGGGGCGGAGGAGAAGGAATTGGAAACCTAGAAGAGGCAGTCAACGGGCTGTGCTCTTTCTCCTTCACCAAGAGAGGGACACCTTGGTAAACTCTGCACCTTTCAGCAAGGAGTAATACCTGGGATAGCACTTTGCTTGCACTGTTATCGTATATTAGCACTATTATATTTACCAGCAGCAATTCTGAAACTGTTCTGTCACTTTATTAAATATGATCAACTTTGTGAAACTGTGTCTCAGTGAAAGCCCTTGGCAGGGCTCTGAAACAGATAAATGTTGGCCTCTGGTAAATCCCCTTCAACGTGTCTCTGTGTCTGCAAGGCCAAGCCTCCACCACGAAGCTACAGGACTCATCTCCAGCCTGGCAGCCGCGCTCTGGGCACAGTGGTGTGGTGGCAGCACTGACGAAGCCATCCAGATAACGTGGCTGAGAGACGGGGACTTCAGCTGCTTCACCTCAAGAATCCAATATTTCCTAAATAAATAAATTAATTAATTAAAAACAAGCAGCATGAGCCTGTGTAGATGTGCCCTGAGAGCGGAGAAAGCCCTCAGCAGCCCCTTCTACCCCGCGGGGACCCGGTGAGGACGAAGCCCCCTCACGGCATGGCGGAGGGCGCCGAAGCCCCGCGGGGCGCCGCCCGCGCCCTCACCGCGGCCTCCGGGGGCCGGTGGCGGAGGAGGCGCCGCCGCGCTGCTGCTGCCCCGCTCCTTTTCCTTCCTTCCTTCCTCCCTCCGCCTCCCGAGCCGCACAGCGAGGCGGGCGGCCGGCCGGAGGAGGAGAAGGAGGAGGAGGAGGAGGAGGAGAAGAGCCCCGGCAGGACGCAGGAGGTACGGCCGCCCCCGGCCCCCCGCCGCCCCGCACGCACCTGCCCCCGCCGCCGGGGCCGCGCTGAGGGGAAGGCGGCGAGGGGCTGGGAGAGGTGGAGGGGGGGCGCTGAGCACGCTGAGGGGGGCAGCTGGAGAGAAATAAAAGCGAAATAAAAGTTGGGAGCGAAGTTTCGGAGCGAGGGGGGGCGGCTTCTCCTCAGCAAGCGGCGGGCGGGAGGCTCTGCCCCGGGAAGGAGGGAGCCCGGCCGGGGCCGTGAGGGGCGGCTCGGCTCGGGGTGGCCGTGGGGGCTCCGCCGGGGCCGGGGAAAAGCCCCTCGGTGCTCTCGGCCCCTCCGTGTGGCCGCTAGGAAGGGGGGAGACCTGAAGGGAAACTGGGTGTGATTGCCGCTCCTGCTTCCTGCTGAGCTTTACACCCGGGTAGGGCGCAGGGTGGCTGGCTCTCGGTGCCTGCTTTGTGAAGGGGGCAGCAGCGATTTCACAGAATCACAGAATTTGCCGCTTTCCGCAGATTTTTCGTGTCGCCGAAAGGCCCTCAGCAGGTGACAGGTCTGAGCCACGCTCTGCTCCTCACCGGGCAGCCGCTGCTGCTTCCTGGGGAGCCTTCGCCCAGCCCTTTTGGGGGCACCCCGCTGGTGCCATCCGCCTCTTCAGACCCCATTGCCTTGTCCACCACAGCTCCGGGCCCTAAATGAGCTCTTCAGAAACATCAAAGTTTGTGGAGATTGCTCGTGGGTTGGGAAGTGATGCCAGGCACGGCTGGGTGTGCTGGGGCAGCACCTGAAAGCTGGCAGTGAGGGAGGCTCAGGAGAGATGCTGGGAATACACGAGGCGGGATGTAAACCTGCACCCAGATCTGTTCTTCACCATCTCCCTCCTGAATGGGATTCTGCAGAGCCCGTAGGACTCAAGTAGTGCTGTTTTTCCAGTCACTCTCTCTCCCTAAATCAAATTAAGACCTGGTGTTTGCACGTGTTGCAGTTGAGTGCGTCTTGCTTGAGGTAACAGCACCACAGGGACGCTTTTAGTGTATACACAAAGGTCCCAAAATAGGGAAATACAGGAGCCTGCACAGGGGCTGTGTGACACTAAGGCACTTAGAGCTGAAGCATTCACTAGTTAAAGGGAACTGACTATCACAGTTTCAGGAAAAATATAAGTTTTTTCCTTTCACTATGTACAAGGAAAGTTCCACCCCACGCAGTAATCCGGGTAGAGACTTAAAAATTGGGTGCGGGATGATTTTTCTCAAAGCTCTTCAGACATGGTGTGCCCCAGTAGTGCAGCAAGGAAACGCTTCAAAAACCAGCATCTGCTAAAAAGAGTTATTCTGTTGTTTTGTTGGTTTGTTTTTTTTTTTTTTGCATGGGGAAGTGTTTGTTCTGATGTAGCTGCTCAGCACGTTGATGATGAGGGTGTCGGGAAGGCAGGGGCTCGGTGCTGCCAGCATCACATCCCCTTCGTTTTCAGAGGGAGCGACCAGGACAGCTTTTGGGAGGCACAGCAGCCTCCCCGACACCCCCACGTGTCTGCTGTGGTCTGTGGCAGGGATGGACAGACGGACAGATGGACGGACAGACACACTGGTGCTTGGCTGTGTGGCCATCTGCGGCCACTTAGAGCTGCGGCTGTGCTGCCGCGAAGGAGGTGTTGAGCCATGGGGGGGTGTGAAAACGCTTGCCTGTAGCCTGCTCCACGCCTCTCAGTCCATGTCGTTATTTGCTCTGTGGCACCCAAATCATTTTTCCCGTCTTTGAAAAACACCCCAGAGCCAAACCGCAGGCTGTGGCTTCGCCCGCTGCCCAGCTTGCAGGATGTGCACGGCGCTCGGGCTGCGAGTTTTGGTTCCTGCTGCCGGCACCACGAAGTAGGGGTCATCAGAAGCTCAGTTTTGCTCTAAGTGCGCCTAAAACTCAAGTCTTTGCCTGGAAACAGTTGATGTAGCGTTCAGTCATTTTTAACGGTGTTGGCTCGCTGTTAAAACGCTGTGTGATGAGGGAGGAGCAGGCAGCAGCTTCCTGGGGAGTGGGGACGGATCCACGTGTCCCTGTGCGTCCCCTGGTCCTGATCCCAGCACAGGATGCCACCTCTGCTCACGGGGCAATGCGCCTGGGTCTTGCTTGCTGAAGCACGAGGTGGGCTGTGTGCTTTGCCACATTGGATCAAAACTTCAGCATCACATGCCGAGCATGAGAAAATCTAATCAGGATCAAAGGTAAAGGGCACTGTGTTACATCTGAGAGGCGTTCACGGGCTGAAACTGAAAGCAGAAGGTGGAGGAGCGCTGGCGTTGGCTGGGCACATGCTGCAAACTCACCTGTAGTGGTGGAAGAGAGAAAACGTGCAGGTGTGCAGATTTGAAGAAGTCAGAGCCCTGGGAGACTGAGCTGTACAGTCTTCTTCCGAGCTCTTGTACAGCAGCAGCCAACCTCCGAGAGCTTGTAGGGGCTTAGTTTGCCTCCCTGGACATGTTTGAAGAAGCCTGCTGCTCCGAGAGCACTGGACTTCTCTAGGACTGGGCAGAGAGGAAAGAAGCTGGTGTGCTTCTCTTAGCTCTGTTTATTCTATAGAGAATGGGCTCAGAAACCACGTCACTATTTTTCAGTTTCTCACGGTGGAGTTGCACAAGAGCCACAGTCTTCTTTGCGGATGGGAAAGGTTTTGAGGTTGCATTTAGGATTTTTCCAGCTGCGTTTCGTCGTTTCAATGCTCTGCCTTTACACTAGCTTGTGGAGAGTCTGAAACTGCAGCTGTGACCCAGGCCCACCCCCGCCACCCTCCACCCAAAGACTCACCAAAGAGTCAGCTTTGGTGGAGAAAAATTGGGAACATTTATCTTTTCTATAGTGCAGACTTTGTTAGTCTCCTCTGTTAATTCACGTTGCGTTCTTTGAACAAAGCCATGATGGAAATAATTGTATTTATATTTGCATAGGCTGATGGGTGCATTTCTGCAAAGTAGCATTCAGACGGGAATAAGCATCTTGCACTTTCTCTACTAGAATGATTAATTTGTTTTGCCGTTTATTTTTAAACAGGGTAGATTATGGCTCTTCAAGATGGTGCTCACTAGCAGTCGCTCCGTTCCTGCACTTAATTGACAGAGATCACTCAGCTAGGACAACACTACTCAGTTTCGAGTGCTGCAGAAAGTTTGCCTGTGCAATCTTCACAACTACGACCCAGAATGTACTGGTGTGTGGGAACTGAGGAATCCGCTGTTTCCAGAGAGAGCAACATGGACCCACAGAATGGTAAATAGGACGATTTCTTTTCTTTCCTGTTCAAATTGGGAGCGGAAGGTTTTAAGGGAACTCGCTAGCCAGCTGCCACTGAGTTTCAATGAAATCTGAATATATGAAAGATCTTTGAGTGCTTTGAGCCTTAATTTTAGAAAATCTACAGTACAGAACAAGGAGTTTTACTTGCAAGGGGAATGACGTTGGACTGTTCAGGTGATAAGAATAGCATTTCTGTGAAGACCAATTTTCTCCCAAAGCCTACGGAATTAGTCAATACATGTATCATGTCTCAGCAGTTCCTAAATATGTTTTACAAGATCTGTGCTTTTTCAGCATGCGAATGCAAATATGTTCCCAGCCACTGATGCAGTGTGTATTCAGGGTATGAAAGCTGCTAAAATCAGAGCACAGTTTCTCAGGCTGAGCAGATACTAGCCTGCTCCACTTTTGCTCTCAGCTTTGGTTCAGTAACTTACAGTAATGTATTGGTGGGATGGATTAGGAGGTCTGCATTTAGACAACATAATAAATCCATAGGTGGAAATTTCTCTTTAGGAAGGGACGTATGCTTCAGGTTGTTTCCTGTTAATTAGTTTTTTGTTGATTTTTTTTTTTGAACAGCCGTATTATTTTTGGCAGTTTCTTAATGCAGAACCCTTCAGTTCCTAGGCAGTGCTGTACTTCTCTGAGCCAAAACCCAGTTATGTTTCTGCATCAAGAAATAGCCTTCTGCTTATTGTATAACGGTATTCCCCCCGTGCAACAAACAGTTCATTAGGAGGCGGCATCTGCGTTTTAAGTGTGGGATGAAGGTGTGTTTGACGCTTCGTAGTGAGTAAGCAGGCTTCAGTAGAAGCTAATGTTTTTGCAGCCTTATTTTGGATTTTATCAGCAACTATGAAGCAAAACCTGGTACTTTATTCAGAGGCTGCCTTGTCTTGTCTAAAGACGTTTCTCACCAGCGTCACAGGGAGCTCTGGGAACTCTTTCCACTCTCCGTATGTATTCTGCTTATTCTGTGCTACTGATTTTGTTTGGTTTTGCTTTCATTATTTAGCATTGTATCTCTCTATAATAACTGTAAGCATTTGGTTATTGAATATCTTTAAACTAGTTGAATTCTATCCTATGAGTTTCTCTCTGGAAGAAATTAACTCCATTTGAATACTAAGCTATGTGAAGCATTCTTAATGAGAAGTATTTTAGTCTGTGCTAAGTGTTAAGAATTGCTAAATTTTTGTTCTGCAATAGTGATTTGACAAGTTTTTCTTGCTTTTTAAAGATACAGCAAATAAGCAAGTCAGTTTGAGTGAATAATGAATTGAGAAGAGGAAAGGGTATAAATTATTTTCTACATTGTGAACATGATTTTTATTCTGAGAAATTTCTTACATGTTTTTTATGTAAATATATTCAGTTAAACTGCCTAACTGGAGGCATACGAATCTTACTGGTATAACTCTGCTATCCTTACATGCCTGGACTGTTTTATTTGATAAACAGTTTTTGGAAGACTGGCCAAGTGACCCTAGGAAAGCTTAAGACCTGGTGCTGCCCTGGCGGATTAGTTCTTTATGAGCATACTGTACATGTTTAAACTCTTTTTTTTTCCTGGACTGAATCCTGCCAAGAATAATTGTTATTAGCTAGCTGGTCCACTCCCTAAGTTAGCTGGTCCTCTTTCTGCATTTGGATCCTGTTACACAACTCGAATGCAGGAATGCAGTGACTCATTCAGCCTCCACATTTGAATCTATTGTTTACATGCATCAATTCACAGCCTGGATGCAGCCTCCTGCTCCCATTCAGTGGGACCCGCAGGGCAGTGACACCGCAGACAGTTCCTGCGGCGCTGGGGACCCCCTGAGCACCCCAAAAGCTTGGAGCCTGCTTTCAGGCAGGAAGGATGGGCGTAGGGTGCAAGGGCTTTCACAAGGTACAGCAGTGCCTGGAAGGCTTTAGGGCTTTTTTTTCCTGACAGCTATTCATTTGGCCAGATCTTCACAGGGAGAATGCACCCACGGCGTCACTAATACAAGTCAGCAAGTGTAGCATAGGAGAACGTGGGCTCACCTCACTGCATCTGCTCGTGTCTCCGCTGCTGCTTCACTTGGCTGCGGCAGGAATCTCGCCGGTGTCCCAGCAGGATGCCCGCTTCCCCCGAGAGCGAGTGAGAGCCGTGTTTCACCACCGGACCCCGTGCAGCCTCCGGGGATGCCGCGGGGCTTGGCTGGTCACTGCCAGCAGAGCAGGGAGGGTTTGTCACCGGAGTGCAGAGTGATGCTCCCCTTCGGGTGCTGTCAGCACCTCCCTCGCCTCTTCAGACCTTCAGACCTAGCTTCCCCTCTCCTAGATTGGTTCATGTTATCCTAATTAAAAGAAAGAAAGGTAGAGCGGAGGTACGGGGGCGGCTGCAGTATCTCGTGAAGCAGTGTGTTTTTTTTTAAACTGGGTTAAAGAGCTCTGCATAATATAATGGAGGTGACATAATGTGGTTCTTGTAGGAAATACAATGGAAGCCCAAAGATATCACCACATGAATGTCTAGAACATAATAGAGATTCATCTCCTTTCTACAGGCTGTTTGTTTTCTCTGAATCGTACAGAATTTTACAGCTAGCATTTAATTCTCAGATGAGTTTCTAGGAGACAGCTCAGCAAAGACATAGAAAAGCAATCATCGTCCTCTGAAATGTAAGAATAGTTTTGTTAGAGAGCTTATCTCTCTCTTACCGAGAATTTTATTCAAAGTCCCAGAGCGTTCGTGTGCCCTTTGTGAGTGTCTCTGAGCTGGAATTGGATTATCTTCCCAACACACCAGAGGGTGTCTCTTCTCTCCTGCTAAATCTAGAGATGAATGTTGAAAAGGTGTGCTGCGTTAGAGTGTATGTAATGTTACATAATGAGGAGCAACCATGCCAGCGAGGGTTGCTTGAAATTTTATGGCATTCACGACTTTTTCTGAGGGAAGTATGCGCATGCAATATGCCTGGAAAAGGGACACGGATGTTAAAATGAGGCAAGTAGCCGGAATATACTGACCCGTGCTGGAATTTGGGGCAGACCAGCTGCGTGTCAGAGGGGCCGTGGTGACCCTGCAGCTCCTGGGGCTTCGTGTTTTTTATCCGGGCGACCCACGATGGCAGTGACCTTTGCAACCCGGCCGTGGCTCAGCACTGACTCAGAGGGAGAGCTGCTGCCACCTCCTGAATCACAGGCAAGCCTCCAGCCCGAGGAGAGGAGCTGAGCTGGAGGAGCTAACGGGCCGTTTTATCAGAGGCACCGGGCGGGAGCTGGTGCAATTCTGGACGGAAAGTTTCACAAGCGATGGAAGCGATGGGCAAACGGGGCTGAGGCCTTCGTGGTGAGGAGGCCACGGGGCTGGAGGTGGAGGGCTGGAAACCTCCACAGCTTTTTTGTTTGGTTCATGCTGAATAACCTGAGCCTCCCAGGCCATCAGTCTGGCTTCACGTGAAACCCACGTAAGCAGAACAAGGCTCCAGGGAGATCCTGGCTTCTCTGTAGCACTCCAAGTAGCCAGGGCCCACCCTGTGCATGGCCTCCAGATGAGATCTCTGCTGTCATTCCTTCATAATTCGCCCTGCTGGTTTTGGTGCCTTCCACATGAAGGGCAGGAACTTGCGTTTGGTGGTGCGAATATCTTTGCTTATAATTTTTTTTTCCAGCTGAATAGAGGAAGAAGCCAAAACTGGTGTGTGCAGCACCCCTGGTATCACTTTGTTCCTTGTGAAAGTCCCGTGTGAAGCTTTGCATCTCTACAGCCCTGTGCACAGGGCTACAGCCAGCGGCTGCATCTCACCTTAGCCCCATATGAGGCGTGTTGTGCTGTTTGAGAAGGAAAAAGGTACTTGCACTCTCTGCCCTGATTTTTTCCATCCTCACAGTGGAGGTGATAGCATCGCCTGAGCCTGCTACAATGGTGTGGCAGAGTGGAGGGCAGGAGAGCATCTGGGAAGCGACCTGAGCGCACTTGAGGCCTGCAAAGCGTGCTGCTTGCTTGAAGTTCTGTGCAACGAGCCCTGTAGGCTTTCTGTTTTTCTTCCTACTTGTTAAGCTGCAAGTTAATTTGAGACTAAAAAGTGAATTGAAAGTATTCCTACAAGCAAAATGTAAAAAAAAAAAGGCAGCGTGGGAGGACACAAAAAATAGAGCAGGTATTTTATGTGAGTCTCAGCAATGCCCTGCAGAAGGAGAAGTAGGAAGTGCTAGGCAGGAATAGGAAGTACACTAGTACAGCGGTAATAGGCTTGTATTTTTAAACATATTTAAATACACACTTCATACAGAAGTGGTGAAATCTCACATGGGGCCAACTGCTAATGCGGAAGGCCAGCAGAACATGCCTGTGGTGAGCCTGCTCTGCTCTGCAGGCTGTAGCCCAGCCGCGTTGCACCATCCCGCTGAGCCCAGCCAGGGTTTCCCAAAAGGGCAGTGAACGCGGGGACACGTGCAGTTAGGTGCCTCGTTTGAGATGCTCTGAACTGTTTTTTCGGAGTCTGGGTGCTAAATGCTGTCCTTCAGAACGTACCCTGGGAGATGCCTCTCTTTGTGAATTGGAGGCGTCTGAAGGAGCTGCTTGCGTTGGAAAATGGATTCTTGTGCCAGTGGGGAGTTTGGCTTGGGGGTGCTGTGCCCTTCTGGAGTCACGGGATGTAAAGGAGCACTTAGGTCTCAGTGGTGGTAGGAGCAGCTTTTCCTGGTGGATGCCACAGAAGCAGGTCTGCTCTTGAACTTGAGGGCAGAGCTGCTGGGAGAGGCAGCAGTGCGGTACGGACCCCACTGGGCAGAGTCCAGCCTGAAAGGTAGGGATGTACAGGCAGTAGTGGAACACCAGTCCCTGTCTGAGCTTTATATGGCATTACCTGTTCCTACACAGCTTTATTTTCCACCTTTTTATCCAGCTTAGGATGTGTCGGTACACTGAAATGTAACTTAAGACAGCTCTGTCAAGACGCCTGGAAAAAAAACAAAGATGAGCCGATAAGGGAAGTAAAGAAAAGCCTTGGCACTTGGAACCTGCACACAGGGAGCCCTTAACTACCTGACTAATTATAAAGCAGGTGAGGTTGGCACTGTGGTCGTAGGCAGAACTGTTACCCTCCGTTGCAGTGGGGAAAAAGCAATTGATAGAGTTCACACTGACTCGGTCTTTACCAGGCCTGTAATTGATTTACTGTTTTGCCGGTGATGTTACAGGCAATTTTATACTTGCATTAAAGAAAGTGCTATGAATTTATTTTTTTTTCATCCTCTTCAAAGCCTTTGGGAGCCTTATGTAAGACCCATTAAAGTCTCTGCACTGGCGTAACAGGCTCTGGATCCGATCTTCAGGGATCCTTAGAGCATCAGGTCTGCGGTTTGTTTGTTTTTCATTTCTCTGATCAATAAAGGAGCTGCCAGGGCTGCGCTTGGCAGCAGGCAGCTAGCTGGGAGGAAATGTTTGCATTGTAGATGAGGGTGTCGGGGGATGGATTTAATGCCATTCAGCTCCCAGTCTGCCACATAGGTGAATTATGGCCCTTAATAGGTTCTGTCTTGGATTTTACGTCAAGTTAGGCCGCTATTTAATTCCTTTCCTTAATCAGCCTGTGCTCTTTAGTGGGTCAGCATTGCTTCTTTGCATATACATAACCACAGGAGCAGCCCGCTTATCTAGGCTACCGATAGCTTCATGATAAAAGTGTGCATGCTTTGAATTTGTGCATTGCTTTAGCTTAAGGGGAGGCCCTACAAAAGAAGTCTAGGTTTTAGGAAAAGCCTTCACGCTTCAGAAAACCCTCCTGCAGTCAGACGGGATGTGTGGGTTGAAGTTTCTGGTAAACAAACAAACAAAACAAACAGAAAGGAGCACTTTGAGAAATAACAGACTGCCCTTAAAACGTGCACAGCTGTGTGACAGGCAGGCAAACTGGGAGGCTGATCCTGAAACTGAAATGGAGTCAGCAAGGACATGTCCGACCGTGGTAAAATGTGACAGCTGAAAAGAAAAGATTCCTATAGAACAACAGCAGTGTTGATGGAGTAAGATCTTACAGGTTATGCTGCAGGTTGTGCCTCTTGCCATGGCAATCACCACCTTGGGCATGTTGGAAGAGAGGGTGAAGACCCGTGACGTCTTGTTGGTGATGCACTTTTTGCATCCCTGCATCCCAAAAAGTGCATCGCATGCTGGTGAAGGTGGTGACCCCTTCCCAGGCTGAGCTCTCCTGGTGCTGGGATGTAGGGCTCAGGACCCCAGCGAAGGGCTGGGGGTCTGCTGCAGAGTGGTGTGGGTTCTTCCTTCTGCAGCCCACCATCTCCTGGAGGGGCAGGACAGCAGGTCTGCAGTGATTTGGGGAAATTCTCAGCCACAGAGACGAGCCTCGCGTTGCCTCACTGTGTGGAGGAGAGGAAAGGAGTCAATCTGCCACAGGAAGGGAGGAAGAGGGTGAAGGGTGAAAGAGCAGGGACCTGGGAAGATGGGAGCTGGACAGCGACCAAAATTCCCTACTAATAGTCACTAAGTGGCCTGCAAGCACGAAGATTGGTATTTCAGACAGTGCTGCAGAGAGAGCCTCGTCCCAGGCTGCCCACAGCTCCTTTTCTGCACGGCACTGAAGATCGTGGAAAAATAACGAACCGAAGCAGTGATTCAAACAAGAAGTCTGGATAAATTTAGCTCAAATATTCTTGGTATGTTTGTGGTTGCTGTGGAAATTACATCACTGCTTGTTTTAATGATCAGAATATCGCTTGGAAAACTGGCCTGGCTGCCCGAGAAGAGCTCAGAACGAGACCTTTGAAAAGCTTCAGAGTTGCTTCACCTGGATTTAGTTGGTTTGGGGTTGTTTGTTTTATTCCCTTGTTGGGCAGGGAGTATTTCGACTACAGGTTATTGCTGCTTAATTGAAAAGCCACAAGGTTTAGAGCTGATACGCTCTGCAGTGTGATTATCTACTTCACATTAAAATTCTGTCTGGGGAGTAAGATTCAAAAGGAGTGCTGGTAATTGCTGAAGACAAGACCTCCTTCAGAATCTGCCTGCATGTCTTTCTGTCTTGCACATCAAAGAGCCTTTGAAAAAGCTTTTATTTTTGCATCAAACAGGAACATATTTTTTTTTAACACTAATGGACAGGATCCCTTTTCAGATCTCAAATGTAGCTTGGAAAACAAAAATGTCTGGCTCCTGAAGTTGGCTTGTAATCACGGTCACAGCTCTCCGATGTGTTGCATGTAGGACTTTTCACACAATAACGGGGTATGAATAAAAGCTATTAAAGTTTTGTTGGATGGATTGGGCAAGGTTTTCACATGCACTGGATCTGTGTTCATCATCTGTTGGTAGGAAGGAAACATGCCTTGCCTGGTTTTGCCCTCTTCACCTTGGAGCAACCATCTAACAATGCTGCAAGCTGCAGTGGGTTCACAGCACGCACCTTCAGTTGAACACAGCATCCTCCCAGACAAAATCCATGTCTTTCTTCCACTGAAATGGATGTTGACATTCTCAGACATCAGGAAACGAAAGGGAAATATTTCCCCTCTCAAATACAGGCACTTCTGCCTCTTACAGGTTTTGTCACCAGATACGGAAGGTGGTGGGGTTTTTTTGGTAGCCCGTTACATTTATGGCAGCACATCATCACGCAGCCTGATTCAGGACCTGCACTGCCTTGGCCAGCAGCAGAGGCCTTTTCAACGAAACTTTCTCTTCTGTTCCAGACACAGCTGCTAAAGTAATCTTCCCTACTCGATATTTTCTCCTGGAAACTTCTGAGGATCTGCTCCTGCTGCATAGATGCTGGTGGAAGCACTCACAGCGAGTTCAGTAGAAGCTGGAGCAGAGCCTCGCTTTCTCA